TTTTCGTGCCAAATTAAATGCTTGGCGATCTGGACTAGTCGCCATTTCTGGAGCTCTGGCACTCTGAACTGCTGCATGTACAGTAGTGTCATCAGCAAAGCTATGGATCGGATTGATTGTACAGGAAGGAAGGTCATCGATATGTGATAGGAATTTTATGTTGTACTGTAGCTTGGAACAGGATTTTTGTCTCGATCGAAATTTGTCATTAAAGAATCTATCCTCATCAGTCCTAAATGTCATGTCGCAAATGTGTTCAAATTGATACAAAAATGTGAATACCCAACATATACACAATTTCCAATGACAACCAGACAATCAGAGCTTTCTCTGCGTTCTCTGTTTTCATTTGCGCTTCATCAATCCCTATACATTAAAAATTTTTACCGCTAATGCATCGTGGACTGTTTAGAAAAAAACGATATATGGCAGATCAATAGAAAGGGACGCTCTTACAGAATTATTCCTCGAAAAGCTTTTAAAATTGTTCACATTAAGCGGCTCGAACATTCCACGAAAAACATTCTACACAATGTATCTTGGTTTTCGCGTTCCTGTAATTCTTTCTACTTTTCATGCTATGGCTCTAGCGACAAATATTGTTGTGTGTTGTACTATTTCCCCACAAGACAGACAACCCTTTGGATATCGAAGTACCGTTTCTCGCATTTCAGATCCATAAACAATGCATATGCAGCATTTGCAGTCGAAGATCGCATAACAATCAAAGAATGCGAAGTTGCCAGTGGAAGGGCCACTCGCGAAGAGGCCTCTGATCTGACCTAAAGATGCCGACATTTTTCTAAGTTCATTGCGAATGTTGCCATTAATCTTGAGTTGGGCTTCCACAGTCCACAAGATGCAAGGTTGTACAGTCGGTCATGCAGTCATTTGTCTAGGCTGATTGATTCGTAAGACATTTCAATACCACATCTTTTAGTTTTTTTAAGCTGTTATTTTTTTTCTTTAGGTGCCATATTTGAAGAGGTCCCGCTCTTTTTTATTGCTTTATAGAGGGTAGTTCTGTCGTAACCACACGTACGGAAGAGTTTGTCAAAACATTGTTTGTAATGACATCGAGTAATTGTATTTATAAATTAAATAGGGTAAACATACCAGTTATTGGACAGTTAAGCTTTTTTTGAATTTCAAGTCGCTGCCACTGGAGTATTTTTTAACGGATAGCATTCTGCCTATGCCAGGTTTTCGTACATGCATCCTATTTTCAGCTGACGGATTTCAAATATTCCTAATATTACAGCTCTTTAATAAAAATTGAAAAAACCTGAAAAGCTTCCGAAAAGTTAGTTATTGGACAAAAAATTCAATTAATGGACACGAAACTTCCAGTTATTGGACACTGGCAAGGTGATGATTAAAAGCAAATAAAAAGTTGAAATCAGTGTTAAAAAGCTTTTATTGAACCTCAACTATGAATTATTTAAATTTTTTCATTTCAGATTGGTACATATGAAATAATTCTTCGACGTCCATGTCGTCATAATCTTCAAGATCTTCTTCACTTCCCATTTTAGGTTCCTTGCACATTTTGCTGTCAGTTTTTATTTGATCGTCTGTTTCAATTACTTCTTCACTTTCTATTTCTCCCGGGTTTCCATAAACTTTGCTGTTAGTTTCATCTTGCTCATCAACTTTATTACCTTCCCTACTTTCTACTTGTTTTGATTCGACGGGCAAATTGTAATTTTGTTCCTGTGCATTTATTTCGTTGGTCTTCTTATTGCCAATTTCTTTTGGTTCTTGATCTTTATTGCTTTCTATTTTTTCACGCTCCTCATAAATTTCGACGTTGGATTCTTTTTGATGATCTGCTTCGATATCCTCTTCACTTTCATTTTGTTTAAATTTTTTAGTCATTCTGCAGTCGATTTCTTTTTCGTTATACGCTTCGCCGTCTTCTTCACCTTCTATTTCTGAAATAACATCATCATCGCTTTCCTCAGTATAACACATAAATATGACACATGAATAGATCCTCATCACCTTCTTCAGGAATATGTTCGTTATGTTTTTTCGGAATACATCGTTGGTGAATTCTTTTCTTGCAGCTGTTACATGTTAAGTAATGATTCTTTATTGTACGAACTTTGCATACAAAACATGAATTATTATCTTTGTCATTACCTTGCGCACTCTTTTTTAAAGCTTTTGCTGCGACACTCTCTTCTCTTTTCCGTTTTCTCTCCAATTTTTTATTTTCTAATTCCAACTTTAAGGCACGTTTTTTTTCAAAACTCTCTTGATACTCTTTTGATGTTATAGCAAAGGAAACTCTTTCGATATTACGTTTATTCTTTCTTGTTGGTTTTTCTGGAACTACTAAGTAGTCACCTACATTTTTACTAGTAGATGGCAAACTATAGATAGTGTCTTTGCCAGGTTTTATGACTATATTTTGTGTTATATTAATTTGTGGTTCTTTTGAAAGTTGATTCTCAGATGGATTCAATTCAGCATCCAAATTTATTTTATTTTCTGGCGCTCAGATGGATCTAACTCAGGTTCAGCCTCAGACGAGTTCAATACCTGATTATCAAATCTTGGCACGTCTCTCATTTCTGGCAAGCAATCTGGCTTTTCAAAATAACTCCATATTTGGTACAAACTCAAAAACTCTTCGGTAATACCTTCTTCAATCAAAAGATTATCGAAAGATTTTAATCTCTTGACAAACTGACAAATGTTCTATGGTCCATGCGCGGGGGTATCCATTTTACCTAAAAATGTGATAAGGGGCAATTAACTTATAGGTAAATAAGAACGGTTTTATAATTACTTCAGGATGCTCTTTTTTGTTTCCCAAGCACTGTAAATAAACGTTTCAGTTATAAGACAGATTGTAAACCAGTTATTGGACAGGCGTCCAATAACTGGCTAGACTGTAAATATTGACACCAAACTCGAGGTGCCGGAAACAGAGAAGCCGCACAAATGTTTCTCACAAAAACTGTATACACCTCGGTATACACATTCCAAAATGCAGTTATTGGACGGGTGTCCAACAACTGAAAGTAATCATATTTTACGTCAGTTATTGGACACCCCTATAAAACATAACCTAGACTTAAATATATTGATTTAAACCTTAAAAATGTTTACATACACTGCACCGCTACCTTGTATATTTACTCTGAGCACTACGGTAAAATTTCACCACTAATTATAGTACTCGAATTCACCTAAAATTTCTTACGATAGGCTTAAGAAAACCGTCTGTTTGGTGCATAACCAAAGAATCTCACCTTTGGCGCCAAAACAGAAACGTCAATCAAATGTCATTTATGTCAATATTGATACTAATAGTACAATGGTGATATCTCAACAAAACTTGGCTCACTGATGAATACAGAATTCTTGTTTTCGTTTGAAATAATTGGGATGTCCAATAGCTCCCAGTGTCCAATAACTGGTATGTTTACCCTACGTGTGGATCGTGGGTGATTGATTGCACTAAGGGATTATCACTCGTGTTCCTATTTCTCTTATAGTCGCCAAAGGATATTAGAGAAATACTCCAGTAACTTTTGCTTTTATGGAGGCATCAGCAACAGTTGAGAACAGAAGAACAAGAAACGAAATGAGTACAGAGATTAGTCAAAGACCCTTTTTACATTCTAGGATTAGAGTTACGAATTTTCCAGAAATCAGTAGTGTCGGGTAAAAATGCAAGCATCTTCACATCCTGTCTCTCGAGTATGGGACGGTGTTATACTCGTAATGACTTGGATGGTGTTAATGCTTTAAGGTACCATAACTTGATGGTTCACCTTTCGAACGGCCTTCTTTTTTACTACGTAACCTCAGTAACCATTGTGCCGACTTTGTCAAAAGTTAAAATCCACTTTATGGTCACATAAATCTTTTTTCACCTGTAGTTAGGCGAAAAACTGAGATAAATAATTAAAACAACGTGAATTGTTTCCACTTTCGCAGTGGTCGATTCTGGTAACAGATGGACTTTGTTTTTATTTCGATAAATCGATGTTAATGTTCTCAACTTAGGATTAGCTTTGCTTGCCCTATATCCCGGTTGACATATTTGAATTGAAAGTCAATGCGCACTTGCGTGTAAAGTGAAATAAAATGATCAGAAAACATTTCACAAGGGTGAATGAAACTGAAGCCCAAGACAACCGTTTTTCTACGTTGTCTACAAAAGCCAGCTCGGTCAAGTTATTTGTGAAGAGTCTCTCCAATTACGTAACATATTCATCGAAGCTGCGAAAAGGCGCCATCAAGCCTTCAAATTGATCATGGGTCACTAGATATATTTTGGACGAATCTCTTTCGACAATTACACCTCGACTTGTATGAAAAAACGAAATACAAATATGCTGGAATAACAATACCTGCCTAAAATCATTATTGTCATAGTGAATCGCACTGTACACATCCACTAGCCACGCGACTCACTGATCGAATGCCGGCCAACGACTACCTGGGTAGTTATAGTACAGAAAGTATGTTCGCATCTGCTTAGAAAAATATTTTGACCGCAGAATCCTTTTTCTCGACGGAGTGGCTCCTCTATTGATAACTATGAATTCTTTGATAATAATTAACCAGTTTGTGGCGACAACAGTTCTGAGTGGATCTTTGCGCTTTCACAGACCCTTTGGCGTTTTCGGGACGATGGACGAAGGTGTCGTGTCTGGTACATTTAAAAAACTACAGTCAACCTTAGGCATCATGCTCGTTTGACGCTTTGGGGCTGGGCATCCTTTTGGGAGCGGTAATCTCTGAGCCAGTGTTTTGCTGGCTTTGAGCAGTTTCATATTTCAATTTGCAATGATGCTTCAGATTGTTGTAATAACACACCGTTCAAGAATGTGAAAATCTTTATTTTATATCAGCTGATTGTGTATCAAATATGATTGAGATCGTGAGGTAAACGAAAACGAAATAAAGTCACCAGCTGGTTAATTAAATTGCATTTTATTTTTGAAAAGCGCGTTCTCTCATTTCTGTTTTTGTTTCAGTAACTGTTGGACCTGGCGTTGACGGTAGGATCCCCGTGATGCCTCCAAGAAACACGTCCTTGGATTCTCAGGTAAGCTCTTCTTTCGGGATACTGGCTATTATAGAATATTATTATATATTATCGACCGCTTAAGCGATAACAAGAGCAAAATGAGACTCACCATCAGGCTGGATGAGTTTACTCCAAGCTAGGAGCCCAACTAACAATTATCACTCCTATTAGAGTTGCAAGAATGATTATACAGTATTCCCTAAACAGCATTGTATACTGTAAGAACATTGGCAAAACCCTCTTAGAACAGCTATACAAGCGGAATGGGCACACCTAATTTAAGAGGTTAGATAACGGCTACAGGTAACAGTTATAAAACAAAAGTGTAAGCCTCTTGCAGCCGCTATAGGACATCTGCGTCAGTTCAAGATTCAGTTTTTGTCAACTATACAACTATTCTGTTACGTGATTCTACTTTATTGCAACCAAACTATGTCTTATGTATTGTATAGACGAAAACAGTAACCACAGAAACCACAACAATAACAATCACACAACAATTCTTATAAAAACAGACAATATGCGATCGCTCAACGAAACACGTTCCAATGCGTTGCCGACGCCTATGAGTCTGCCGGTCGAGGCGCGTCTTTGATTTCATTGGTTCTACCGGCGGAGAACAATCAGCCATTATTTCCATCTCTGTCTGTGCTGTTGACCACCGCAAAGCCACAGAAACGACATATATCGTACGCTATACGGCTGTACTGGAAGGAAGCCGGGATCGAGCTCTGATCACGTGTTGATCACGCGTATGAGTCATTACAATTTTAAATAGTTGTAGTATAGAAGGTCGCCTGTGGGTCGCTCGTGTTGGTAACCATACTGCCTGTTGCTAATCAGGCCATGGCCTCCAGACTTATTCATCTCTCCATCACCTTACTTTTGACAAAAAGCAGAGCTACAGGCCTATAGTTGTAAGGGCTGACGATTAAATTTCCAGTGTTCTGGGAAAGTTTAGTATTTCTAGCATTTGTATTTTTTCCAGAAAAAAGAGGCCGCAGAAATATCGATAGACTATGCAAGAATAAACTTCATGGTTCCGTCCATATTTGTAGGGATCATCAGTTTCGTCCTGTTGGCTTCCATCATAGCTTATTGTAGAAGAAAATCAAGAAGAAATGCTGCCCAAGTAAGCAAATATGACATAATTATGATTTTATAAGAATATATCCTCCATTATCTCATGTTTCTAGTATCGTCTACTGTGTACATAAAGTATATTCAGCAAAGATTAAGTGCTATCAAAGTGACTGGTGTTTCTGTGTATTTAAAATATTTTTTTATTAAGACAAAATATTTTAAACATACAGTAACACAGAAATTGTGGTACCACTTAATCTTTGTTGAATATATTTTATGTACACAGCAACACAAACATTTTAGAAGCATTTAATACTCTATCAAGTTTACAGCAACATACATTATTGTAGTATATATCATATACTTAATTTTATATATATATACAGGGTGTCCGCAAAGTTGGGGTTTTCCTTTTCAGAAACAACTACCCTTGAAATAACAAAGGTAATGTGTAGTGAAACGAGAGCGACCAAGTAAAAAAAAATTAAGGAAAAAGTACTCACTCTCCAATTGACGAGAAGGGCTAAGTACGTCTCTGCCCGAAATCATACCGTTCCAACAGAAAATGAAATCAGCTGATGCGCTACCGAGCAGACGCAGGCAAACAAGGAAGGCAAAATGTTGCGTAAAAAGTTCTAGGTATTGCATCCCGTCCAATCGATTTGGGAGAATAAATGGTCCAATGAGCATACTGTTCACCATGCCAGCCCAAACATTCACCGAAAATGTTTGTTGAAAATGTGCCCGACGGACAGCGTGCGGATTTTCTACTGACCAAACATGAGTGTTGCGAAAGTTATTCACCCCATTACGCGTGAACGTAGATTCGTCTGTCACCAATATGCACTTCAAAAAGTCCGGATTATTGTCATGTTGATGCAACAACCACCCACAAAACCGCACTCTTGCTGGAAAATCGTCAGGTTGAAGGGCTTGTACACGTTGGACGTGAAACGGATACAGCCCCTCTTCACGCAGCGTTTGCCACACTTTAGTTTTTGATACTTCTTCGTTGACCTCTACACGCGTGACCGTAACCGTCGGTTGAAGGTTGTATACTGACCTGGCACACTGACCCCGACCCAGTTCTGTCGTCGGGTTGAGCTAGTGTCCTAGTACCATTCGGGGATGTCGCGGCTACAGGACGGTATTCAGATATTTTTGATGTTGCAGAGCCCTTTATCTCGGTTCCCTTAAGAAATTGGTGTATATGGTACTAAGAAAAATTGCTTATGTTTTCAAGATCTACACGTCGTGTAAAGGAAAACCCCAACATTGCGGACACCCTGTATATATTATATATAATTTTTTATACTTCCAAATATCGGTTGCCTAGATTAACCAATGACTAGACTCCGCCATTTGCATCATACTTTTAAATATTGTGTTGTGATGTTAATTATTATTATTCTTTATAGGCAAAGTGAAAATTTTTTTGTCAATTTCAAAAGACTGATTCGTAGTCCATAACCTTCTGAGACTCAACATTGTTTTAACCATAACTATCGTTAGATGTAATTAGGGATTCAAAGTGGATAACAGAATTTCAAGATGATTTGAATATTTTCAATTTTATTTGCAGGCCTCGCCAATAAACCTGAAACAAAGTCTGCTAGTAGCAGAAAGGTACGCGCCGAATCCGCAGTACTCGACATGCTCCGCAGCAGGGGTACCAGTTCTCAGGAAAGAAACGCTGTCCTTTTTGAAAGAAGTCGGCGAGGGGTGCTTCGGGAAAGTTTTTAAAGGTAAGATTTACTTAAAATTTATACCTTATTTTCAAATCTCTATTCGTAAAATTGCGCATGTGAGAAAATGGAGGACAGTAACATAAAACTCATAATAACAATCACTAATGTGTACTTCTATGGAATTTTTTTTTTAATGTAGAACCATGGTTTAATAAAAAAACTTTTCGTTTTCATTCACGCTGAAAGTTACTCCTTATTTGGCCACGCAATTAGATAATATCCTGTATAGTATGGCTTGTCAGCAGTACCTCTTAAACACCTAAGTATATCGTAAATTGCGTATTTTAGAAAAAAGTTTTAATAAATACTTGTATAGTTTTAGGGGCAAAACGATGGTGACCTTGAAAATGACCTTTATCATGACCTTTAGGGTCATTTCAAGGTCAAGTAAATATTTTTAAACGGGACCTCCACTTTTCCACATTGGAATTGAAAAGTGGAAGACGCTTTGCGTGTAAATGTCACCTTGATCATGACCTTCAAGTCCATTACAAGGTCAAATCGACACGGTCAGAACTATTTACTCTAGAAAAAATGTTCGATTGCGCAGTTATAAGAGTTATGAGCCACCCAAAGGTGATTTTGACCTCCAAGGTCAAATCAATCTTTTCAAATAAAAATCCTAATTTTTATAGCGGAAATGGAAAAGGCAGAAAGTTTGACATCCTAATGTGACCTTGACCTCGAGTATCATTGACTTTCAGGTCAAGGACACATCGAACGAAAAATTTCCTGCTTTTTTTCATTTCCAGTGCAAAAACTCGAGGTTTCCTTTGGAAATTACGATTTGAACTTGAATGTCATGGTCAAAGTCATCTTTGGGTGATCCACACAAGCGTCAGAACTGTGCTGTTTTTGCTAGAACAAATTGCTTTCAACGTTTTGCGTAGGCCCTCAAATAACCTTGAAAAAATGATCAAAGTCACAATAACGTGACTACTCCTTTCAATTCCGGTGTAAAAACGTGACCTTGAAATGACTTTGAAGGTAAAGTTCAAGGTCATTGTTAAAGCCATTTTGCGTTCATGAAACTCTACAGGTCTACAAACTGTTAAGAGATTCAGGAGTCATATCCAACAATATGTTGCTACTAACGTGCATCTTGAACACGTCTTTTTCAAAATTAGATAATATCCTGTATAGTATGGCTTGTCATCAGTACCTCTTATACACCTAAGTATATCGTAAATTGCGTATTTTGGGAAAAAGTTTGGTAAATACTTGTAGAGTTTTAGGGCCAAAACGATAGTGACCTTGAAAATGATCTTTATTATGACCTTTAGGGTCATTTCAATGTCAAGTAAATATTTTTAAACGGGACCTCCACTTTTCCACATTGGAATTGAAAAGTGGAAGAAACTTTGCGTGTAAATGTCACCTTGATCATGACCTTGTTCATTACAAGGTCAAATCGACACAGTCAAAACTATTTACTCTAGAAAAAATGTTCGATTGCACAGTTATGAGAGTTATGAGGATCACCCAAAGGTGACTTTGACCTCCGAGGTCAAATCAATCTTTTCAAAGAAAAATCCTCATTTTTTTAGCGGAAATGGAAAAGTCAGAAAGTTTGAGATCCTAATGTGACCTTGACCTCGAGTATCATTGACTTTCAGGTCAAGGACACATCGAACGAAAAAGTTCCTGCTTTTTTTTCATTTCCAGTGCAAAAACTCGAGGTTTCCTTTTGGGAATTACGATTTGAACTTGAATGTCATCGTCAAAGTCATCTTTGGGTGATCCACACAAGCGTCACAGCTGTGCTGTTTTTGCTAGAGCAAATTGCTTTCAACGTTTTGAGTAGACCCTCAAATAACCTTGAAAAATGATCAAAGTCACAATAATGTGACTACTCCTTTCAATTCCGGTGTAAAAAGGTGACCTTGAAATGACTTTGAAGGTCGAGTTCAAGGTCATTGTCAAAGCCATTTTGCGCTCTCGAAACCCTACAGGTCTACAAACTGTTAAGAAATTCAGGAGTCATATCCAACAATATGTTGCTACTAACGTGCATCTTGAACACGTCTTTTTCAAAATTAGATAATATTCTGTATAGTATGGCTTGTCATCAGTACCTCTTACACACCTAAGTATATCGTAAATTGCGTATTTTAGGAAAAAGTTTTAGTAAACACTTAAAGTTTTACGGGCAAAACGATGGTGACCTTGAAAATAACCTTTATCATGACCTTTAGCGTCATTTCAAGGTCAAGTAAATATTTTTAAACGGGACCTCCACTTTTCCACATTGGAATTGAAAAGTGGAAGAAACTTTGCGTGTAAATGTCACCTTGATCATGACCTTGTCCATGACCTTCAAGTCCATTACAAGGTCAAATCGACATGGTCAACACTATTAACTCTAGAATAAATATTCGATTGCACAGTTATAAGAGTTATGAGGATCACCCAAAGGTGACTTTGACCTCCAAGGTCAAATCAATCTTTTCAAATAAAAATCCTAATTTTTATAGCGGAAATGGAAAAGGCAGAAAGTTTGACATCCTAATGTGACCTTGATCTCGAGTATCATTGACTTTCAGGTCAAGGACACATCGAACGAAAAATTTCCTGCTTTTTTTTCATTTCCAGTGCAAAAACTCGAGGTTTCCTTTGGAAATTACGATTTGAACTTGAATGTCATCGTCAAAGTCATCTTTGGGTGATCCCACACAAGCGTCACAACTGTGCTGTTTTTGCTAGAACAAATTGCTTTCAACGTTTTGAGTAGACCCTCAAATAACCTTGAAAAAATGATCAAAGTCACAATAATGTGACTACTCCTTTCAATTCCGGTGTAAAAACGTGACCTTGAAATGACTTTGAAGGTCGAGTTCAAGGACATTGTCAAAGCCATTTTGTGTTCTCGAAACCATACAGGTCTACAAACTGTTAAGAGATTCAGGAGTCATATCCAACAATATGTTGCTACTAACGTGCATCTTGAACACGTCTTTTTCAAAATTTTATGAATGTAAGATGGCATAAACTGTTCACTCCAAAATTAAAAACATTTTTTCCTTACATCCAGATGACTTCTTATAATCCTTTGCATTGCCCACGGTGATTAACGAAAATGGAGATTTGTTTCATAGGCAGATCACAGAAAATAATAAGAATATCAGGCATATTCTGGAAAAATAATACGCTAATTCTTCTTCCAGTTAATATTTATTTAAAGAAATAAAATATCCGATATAAAACTGTTAGTCACTAAATCTTATTGAAAGTTAGTTTCACAGGCCTTTCAGGTTTGGTAATCATCTCTAGAACGTCTTCGATTTGCTTCTCATCGCACAGCTGAATCTTGTACTCTCTTAGTATTCTTCCCAAGGCTCCTTGCAATTGTGCTTCAGCAATCTTTCTTCCAACACATGATCTAGCTCCTATTCCAAAAGGAAGACTGGCATTTTGCTGAAGAGGAGTAGCTGAAAATATGAAAAAATTTGAAAAAAGTAGTTTATATTTATCGCGTAAAAATGTAACAAATTCATGAGAAATTGCACAGCAATCCTTTGCTACGTAAATCAATAGACCGCACAGTCGAGCAAGCTGTCAAACGAACAAAATCAAATCGCGGAAATTTTCAGATGACCCAAATAACGCTGACCTTGATGAATATTTATCTGACTTCTTTCTTTGTTCACCCCAATAAAGAATATTCAACAATAATTTTACATCTCCAATTAGGGAGATTGGAGAGCATCTTCGCTTTACGTCACTGTACAAAGTTATAAAGGTCGTGAAGCAAAAGACGTTCATATTCCATGCTCCAGATCGCTTTATCATTCTCGCGTAACTGTTTTTCAGCACAGATTATGTACAAAAAATTGCATATAAACAAGGGGATAAGACGTCTGGCTCAAAGAAAATAACAATTGGTGGTGCATATCGTATGTGAAATATCAATTTTACAGGAAAAGAAAAACAGAATTCAAAATGACTTTGTACCTCCCTCGCAGTTCTGGGACTTATAAGATTATATTAGGTGCATTTACAAAGAGATACAAGTTAAAAGGGATGCATGCGGGGAGGGAGTGAAGGAGTCCCTGAATCACGGATAAATAATAATAATTAACGTCTTTCTTATTTGTGATAACAGAAGGCGAGATTTAGAAATTATATCTATTCTACCACCTGTTGAGAATACGAAATGTAGAAAAACGAAAAATTTGTTAAGCATTAATACAATGACGTCAATATTAAAGCATGTAAAGGCATAAATAAAACATGAGGAAAAAGTATCTTTATTTTTTTCTTCGTATGAATTTGTTTACTAAATATGACTGTATTTGTTATGGGTCAGAGGTATCTGGTATTCATACATTTTATGAATTTTCATCCAGTTGAGGTCATTAGTGGCCTCCGATATATGATCATATTTTCTGATATCGTTTACAAGCCTGCAACATGTATTCATAATACTTTGTATATGATGTTATTAAATCTAGATAGGGTTTGATCTCTCCCAGATTTAATCGATGTTTATTTGCAAATAAAACCTTGAGACTAGCGCAGCACTGAGAAATGGTTTACTTGTTCAAATCATCATCCATTAAGTACCTAGGTTCATCGGTCGCTCGGACTACTTGTGACGTGTTAATCCATAGCGCTATTAAAATTGACCAGTGTTTTAATCCATAGAACTATATACTTATATACTAAGTGACATATAAATCCGAACACCCAGTTTAAATGGTTTTATTTTAATAAAATTTTGTATAAGTACTTAATGAAGCATAATAATTAAATGATTGCACTGCTTTAAAGCCCTTTAACCTTTAATAATGTGTGGATGCACCCTGATGTGCTACGCATTCTCCAACGCGCCTAGGCATGCTTCTGATCAGGTGGTCAATGTCCTCCTGTGGTATCTCATTCCAGGCAACCACCAACTCATCTCGAAGTGCTTCTAGAGTCTGAGGAGGACGTTGCAAATTGAGCAATCTCCTACCCATCATATCCCACACGTGCTCAATTGGGGATAAGTCGGGAGATCTTGGTGGCCATGGTAACAATGTGACATCATTATGTTGAAAGAAGTCTATTGTGACTCTTGCAACATGTGGTCGGGCATTATCTTGTTGGAAAGTTGAATCTGCCAGGGTGTCAAGATAGGGTAAAAGATGGGGTTCTAGAACTTCGTGGATATAACGCTACGCGTTCATGTTACCTTTGATGAAGATTAAAGGTGACCTGGAACCATAAGCTAAGCACCCCAAACCATAACTCCAACAGTGTGATGAACATGTCTTTCAACAAAAAACTGTGGATTCCTCCTTTCACCACGTCGCCTTCTAACCCTGGCACGACCATCGTGCATGCCTAAACAAAATCGAGACTCGTCACTAAAGACAATACTGTTCCATTCCTGATCCCAGAGTGACCGTTGTCTGCACCACTCAAGGCGATTACGTCGGTGTTCTCGAGTTAAAGGGAGGACCCAGTGTGGCCGGTATGAAAACAAGCCAAAACTTCTCATTCGTCGGTAAACACTTCGCATGCCAATAGGTCTTCCGTGTTCTGCAAACCATTCATTTGCAATGGACCTGGTAGTGGAGAAACGGTCCCTTAAGGCCAATAATCTTAGGCGGCGATCTTCACGGTCTGTTGTTCTACGGCGGCGTCCAGTGCCCCTTGCACTTTGGGTACGGCCTTCTTGAAGCCATGCCTGACAACACCTAACCACAGTGTCTACACTTCTTTGCACTCTAATTGCAATTGCCCGAAAAGAAGGTCCAGCTTCCCGAAGTCCCACTATACGGCCCCTATCAAACTCACTAAGTTGACGAAATCGTACAGGTCTCCGTACTCTAGGCATCGTAACCGATCGTAAAGGATGTCAAGAACCAAAATCCGCCAACGTTGATTCTTTACTGCGGCTGAAATATTCATTTTTAGAGCGTTAGTGAATTAAAAAAAAGCAGTATAAAAACCGGAATGTCCAACTGATAAGGCTGAAAATTTTTTCACTTGAACGTGACCTTGACTACGACCTTCAAGGTTATTTGTAGGTCAAGTCAGTTTTTTTAAATGAGGTAATCACTTTTGAACTGCACATGTGAGGAGTGGAAAATTTTACTTTGACGTTTTTCAGAAGATAGGGAAATGATAATACATCTCTAAAATTACGTTTCATAAAGAAACAATTCATACAATAAAGTTATGAGATTTGGAAAGGTTCATCTAATGGTGACCTTGAACGTGACTTTGAGTATGTCCTTCAAGCTTATTTGAAGGTCAAGACAGTTTTATTGAATGAAAGCTCCTGTTTTTGATACCAGAAGTAAAAAGAGTGAGAAACTTTATGTCCGAGTATGTCCATGTTCCTGGCTATAACCATCAATGTCATTTCAAGATCAAATCAATTTTCAACGAGAAAAATCCATTTCAAATTTCTGAAGCGCAAACTTACGTTCAAGTATATATCATTAGTCTGGCATTTTAAAATCAAATAAACTTGGAGTGAACTCCTTACTTTTTGTCGAGGATACAAAGAGCGAAGCATTGAAGGTATCCTTCTCCTGACAAGTATGGGGGTAACTCGAAAGGGCCAATTACCTGATCGTCAAGAATACCCGCCCAAATATTTATTTTAAAACGTTGTTGGAAATGACTTTCACGAAAGGTATGAGGATTTTCTTGGGCCCACGTGTGAGTATTTTGGAAATTTAATATCCCGTCTAGCGTAAAAGTACATTCGTCCGTCGCTAGAATGTTCTACGCGGCGGCCTAATTCCCGAGCGCTGATATCTGCATTGATTTCCACGATATTTAAAATTTGTTCCTCCTGCTCTACAGTAACCCGTCATTCACGAGTGCGAATACTAGTGGGCTGAACACTTCCTGTATCTCGAAGTCTGTCGGCGAACTCTTGATTCGAGAACATTGTAAATAAACACGACGACGTACGCGAACAATAACGAACAGACTATCATGAGGACATGACCTCCGACTTATTCGAAAAGTGGATAGAGCAGCAGTTAATACCAAACATTTCCCCAAATTCAGTGATTATTATGGACAATGCGCCATACCATTCCCGACAGAAAAACAAAATTCCGAATACAGGCACAAAAAAACTAGACATTATTGATTTTATGAAGGATAAGGGAATGGAAATACCACAAAAATCAACCAAAGCCATATTATTGGATCTTATTAAAAGACAAAAATTTGAAAAAGAGTATGTTGTTGACAATCTGCTTCAGCAAAATGGCCATGAAGTATTACGTCTACCTCCCTATTACTGCATTTTTAACTCGATTGAGTTGGTCTGGGCTGCTTTAAAAAAAAAAAAGTAAGAAAACATAATCAGACCCCTCAATTAAGTGAATCGCTATTGACCACAATAAGAGATGCAGTATCTCATATTGCTGCCACAGACCTATGGAAGCAGTGTTCTAGGTATATTATTGAAAAAGAAAATGAATATTGTGTTTTGCCTCCTGTAAATCCCGTTGTAATTCCTCTACAAGATGACTCTAGCGACAGCTCCGAAGGCGAGGATGATATATAAATACCTATAATGTAAGTCTTTATATACCTACCTGCTATGTAAATATTGGCCTATGTCAAACGTTGGAATTCTGTAATTTTTCCATTTCTTAACTTTCAGTCAACATAAATTAAACTCCCAATATAAGTATTTTTTATCCCAAATCAAAAAAATAAGAAGATAGTAAAATCCATTTATTGTGATATAAAAACATTATTATTATCGTTCTAAATAAATGACCGCACGCCTATGATACGTCATGAAATTACAAAGGACGCGCCGACCAAAGGTTTTTATGCTATTTCAAGTGACTTCAGATAAAGTATACACATTCCCCTTCCAAATAGAACACATCTGAAAACAGGCACGACTTTCTGAAACGTCAAAAAATGAAGTTTGAGCGATTTTTGGTTTTTCCGCTTTTTGCCCGAAGCTCCGCCATTACTGAATCGATATCGTTCTTGGTATAGTAACTTCGTGTCAAACTTTAATCGAAACCCGAACGGAACTTTCTAAGTTATAGACGTACCAAAGATTAGCAGACAGACGGAAAGACAACCAGACAGACGGAAATGAGTGACATCGTTTTTCTTGATCTGCATGTTGAGTAACATCCATATAATACAGGGTGTAAAGTTAGCAGTGGATGAACGGAAATTTTTTAGTTTCAATCGCAATTACAACTAAACCATTAGATTTAGGGCTGTGTTTTTTTCTTAAAACGAGCTAATTGGTTAGTTTTAGCAATGGTTATGTCACTTTCTAACAGAGCTTATTTGAAATATACTAAGTGACATATAAATCCGAACACCCAGTTTAAATGGTTTTAATTTAATAAAAGCATAATAAGTAAATGATAAACATTTCAAAATGATTGCACTGCTTTAAAGCCCTTTGACCTTTAATAATGTGTGGATGCACCCTGATGTGCTATGCATTCTCCAACGCGCCTAGGCATGCATCTGATCAGGTGGTCAATGTCCTCCTGTGGTATCTCATTCCAGGCAACCACCAACTCCTCTCGAAGTGCTTCTAAAGTCTGAGGAGGACGTTGCAAATTGAGCAATCTCCTACCCATCATATCCCACACGTGCTCAATTGGGGATAAGTCGGGAGATCTTGGTGGCCATGATAACAATGTGACATCATTATGTTGAAAGAAGTCTATTGTGACTCTTGCAACATGTGGTCGGGCATTATCTTGTTGGAAAGTTGGATCTGCCAGGGTGTCAAGATAGGGTAACAGATGGGGTTCTAGAACTTCGTGGATATAACGCTGCGCGTTCATGTTACCTGTGATGAAGATTAAAGGTGACCTGGAACCATAAACTATAGCACCCCAAACCATAACTCCAACAGTATGATGAACATGTCTTTCAACAAAAAACTGTGGATTCCTCCTTTCACCACGTCGCCTTCTAACCCTGGCACGACCATAGTGCATGCCTAAACAAAATCGAGACTCGTCACTAAAGACAATACTGTTCCATTCCTGATCCCAGAGTGACTGTTGTCTGCACCACTCAAGGCGATTACGTCGGTGTTCTCGAGTTAAAGGGAGGACCCAGTGTGGCCGGTATGAAAACAAGCCAAAACTTCTCATTCGTCGGTAAACACTTCGCATGCCAATAGGTCTTCCGTGTTCTGCAAACCATTCATTTGCAATGGACCTGGTAGTGGAGAAACGGTCCCTTAAGGCCAATAATCTTAGGCGGCGATCTTCACGGTCTGTTGTTCTAGGGCGGCGTCCAGTGCCCCTTGCTCTTTGCGTATGGCCTTCTCGAAGCCATGCCTGACAACACCTAACCACAGTGTCTACACTTCTTTGCACTCTAACTGCAATTGCCCGAAAAGAAAGTCCAGCTTCCCGAAGTCCCACTATACGGCCCCTATCAATCTCACTAAGTTGACGAAATCGTACAGGTCTCCGTACTCTAGGCATCGTAACCGATCGTAAATGATGTCAAGAACCAAAATCCGCCAACGTTGATTCTTTACTGCGGCTGAAATATTCATTTTTAGAGCGTTAGTGAATTAAAAAAAAGCAGTATAAAAACCGGAATGCCCAACTGATAAGGCTGAGAATTTTTTCACTTGTTATTTACAGTAAGATAAATGCATTCACCAACTTTTATTAAAATAAAACCATTTAAACTGGGTGTTCGGATTTATATGTCACTTAGTATATACGCAAAAAATCTTAAATTCATTTTGTTGTGAAATATCTCTTCCATCCCTCAACTTTGGCGGGTGGTAAAAAAATTTAGGTTGTATTTCATTATTCATTTTATTGTAAAGAATATTTCAATCGATGTAAAATAAACCCTGAAAATTTCAGCTTGCCACGATGAGTGTTGACAAACGTAAGAAACTCAATTGAATCCTTACCACCTACAAGTACATATACAGAACCGATTATATTTAGCCGCTATTTATGGCGATTTACCTACAAATGTGGATTTAACTAACTTTTAAAGAACATGTTCGCAATAGCTTCCATTATTTTCTATACACAAGCGACACCTTCTAATAAAATTGTCCTTTATTCTTTGAAATGAATTTGCGTTTTCTATAATGTCTGTTTTTGCCTTCCGTTGACCCACTACTAACTTTACACCGTGTATAATATCTGATTTTCTCATTTTGTACCATTACACTACTTTCCCGCCAATTAGCGTAGGAAATAAAATACTCGCTTGTCGCTGTTGACATAGTCATGAGGTGAACCGTACAGTTTAAATGACGCATTTCACCCTTTATAAAATACATTTTTCATCGATTCCCGATCCACGTGCTGAAAGTTTGAAAAGTTTTTAAATGGCGACAAGATCGATTTATCATAAATAACAAATAAACATTTCGACGTGCTGAAATATGTAAGAATCCGCGTAATTCACATATTGATCTCATCAAAGTGACCGACTTGGAAGATGTAAACGGGAAATAAATCAGGATTTACTAGAGAAGAAGTACGAGCCCCTTCCCGCTTCAGTTGGCTCACTTCAAGATTTGTAACAAAATATGCCTTTATAAACAAAACTATTTACTTCTAAAACAATTTATTTTCTCAAAAACATTTTAGATACACTCTAGTCGTAAAAAATACATATTTGAAATCATACCACGTACAGCGTGTTCAAGCTCTTCTGCCCCGGGATTATGAGCCCCGAGTTGCTTTTTGTCGCACAATGTTAGAAAGACACAGGGAAGATCCACGGTTCTTTGAAAAAAAATTTATGGTCAGATGAGACCACATTTAAGAAAGATGGGTACATGAACCTGCATAACTTACACGAGTGGCACGTAGCAAACCCACATTTGATGAGAGAAGATTAATCTCAATATCGCTTCAAGATTAACCATTGGACAGGCATTTTAAATGGTAAAATAATCGGTCCGTTTGAGTTCCCAGAGACTTTGACTGCTGAGGTTTATTTAGGTTTTTTGCAAAATCATTTAGAAAATTTATTGGAGGACGTGCCACTGAGTATTTACAGGGATATGTGGTTTCAGCATGATGGCTGCCCAGCGCACTATGCACTCTCAGTGAGAGAGTATCTCGATCAAAACTTTCCATGCAGATGTATAGGGCGGTCTGGTACAATACCGTGGCCAGCCCGGTCACCAGATTTGAATCTGTTACATTTTTTTACTGGGGAACTGTAAAAGAAAAAGTGTATTTCAAGCCGATTCAAAATGTAGCTGAGCTACGGCAAAGACTATTGGAAGCAGCTGAGTTTGTTAATAACCGTGGATTCGCTCGTTTAATAACCCGATCTTTTTTAAGAAGATGTCGAGCGTGTATTGCGGCTGAAGGAAAACAGTTTGAGCATTTGCTGTAAAGGTAAATCATCATCAGCAGCATTTTGACGCCCACTGTTGTGCAAACAATGATCCTTAAGGGTCCTTGTGTGTTTTCATAATCGCTGTTTAATTAGGAAATTTTGAAAAATTTTCATCAGTTTTTCTTCAAATAAAAATTGTGCATAAGTTAACGAGTAATCTTCTAAGAGTTATACCATTTTGGAATCCTTATTAAATGCGCCAACTTTTAAGGTTACTTGCCAAACTCTCGTAGTACATTTTTTTGAGTACAGCCAGTTAAAGTTGCGCAAAGTTTTACTTTGGAATACTTGGTTGGGAAATAAGTGGCAATTTTTCCTGAACGAGAAAAGTTGGCAGTAAGGTTGAGACACCAGTTTGAAGATGCGTTATTCATCATTATATTGTAAAAATAAATTCCAAAAGAAGTTAATATTTGTAGTAACAGGAGTTGACAGACTGCCGTAGGGTGTGAAATTTCTATATTTTTTTCAAAGACCTATAATTTTCAAAACACATACATAAAATTTTTTTAAATATTTTTCTGATAGCTGTTATGACTTTGCCTATCACCCGGTTTCGGCTTGACGTCGACTTGTGGGACACCTCAAAATATTCATTGTTAATATTTTCAACCTATAACATCCCGCTACATTTTTATTATTTGTGTTTGATAAGAAAAAACTAAGATTTCAATAATTGTACCAACTGAAGTGGGAAGGGGCTCGTACAAACAACTCAAGGAGGCCTGATTCTGACTCTTCCTCCAATACGAAATGCGGAACTTACCTGCTGAATAGTCTCGACACCATCTTGCCGGCATAAATTCCTCCGGGTCCGTAAAGAACCGTTTGTCTCGTCCGCTGGTGTAAATTGACATCACGATCAGGGTGTGCCTTGGAATCTGATAACCGCCAACCGCGATTGCATCCGGTAAAACGCGCGTTAAAAATGGCGCTGCCGGATAGAGTCGAAGGGTTTCCTTTACCTAGAAAATGGTGATTTAGAAATTATTTTTTCAAGATTAGGTACCTATAATGCAAGCAGAAGATGCTCGTTTTTAACGGAATAGAATGCGTTGCTGTTTGAAAATGGGGGGTCTTTCAGACACTGGAAATAAAATAAGCTAAGGTTCAAGTTGAAATTTTGCCTTTAAGTATTTCAAAACTGGAACCATTCAAGTGTTCCGTAAGCGCTTTGCTTATTTTCAGAATCAACCGTCGAACATCCTCAGTAAGGGCGCGACCCTTTTTCTGATCTGGTGAATTTAGGTATATAATTATCTTTTGATCTATACAATTTCTCTTTTCTACCGACAGATTAATCCTCTTAAATTGAAAAACTTTGTTATATTTCTGTTGAGCTTTTCCCACGTAATCCTCATTTGATTGCTTAAATTCGTAGACGCTGTAATTACGTCAGGGCGCGTTCTTATAGTACGAATTTGAACCGGGGACTTTATACTTTTTATTCGACATTCTTAGTAAAGAAGCCTTTCGATCCCAAAATATATAGGGCGCCTCGCAATGAACGGTCAAGAAGTGATGCAAAATTAAAGAAAGTCGCTGTTAGTCTGCTTTTCTTCAGCAAGCTGTGGTTTGGATTGAACAATGCTGGAGCCAAGGCCGATCACTGGGGAACACCGGCGTTGACATGTGATGAAAATGTCTGACTTCTAGATTACTAAATCGGCTTTTTGATGAAAGCTCGGGAGGTCTTTAAGTTGCGTAGCAAGACGCGCCGTGGTCGTTGCCAGCCGACCTTGACCGCAAGAGTTCAATCTTACAACAATTATTTCGGATGGAATCAAAAGACAATCTCATTGAGGAATCTCCTACCAGGTGGCAAATTACGTCGAATATAATAAAATTACGTTTATTTATGAAAGCGCGAATGTGTAGGGGAGGATTCAATTAATATTTATACGTTCCATTTCCAGGAATTTAGAAGGGTTGATCATCATGCTACCCTTTTAACCCATGTACAATAAAGCTGTCTTCAAAACATATATTTCTATTTTCCTATACAGGGTGTCCAAGAAGTATAGATATATCATAGTATGTGATCCATAGTTATTGTCGCAAATACGAGGGATGTCTTTTATGTTTTGCATATAGAAACATAGTAGGCCGAGCGGATTGAACGTCAGTACTGAATCTTAACCTCACTCTTTAGTAAACTTAAATTCAAAGTTTCACAACAATACGTGCAGTGTTCTCACTACAGTTAATTTTTAAGAGTCGCCAAGTCATTAGAAAAATGGAACTCAACCGAGAACATTTTCGCGCCATAATTTATTACAACTTTCAGAGACAATTATCGCAACAAGAATGCCTTGCTGAGTTACTGTCTGTTTTCGGCAACGAAGCGCCGCATCGGTCGACAATTTCCCGTTGGTGGAAAAACGTCACCCAGGAAAACGTCAATGCTGTGCGCAAACTCATCATTGACATGTGACATATCGCGAGATTGAGGCGTCCTTGAATATCTCAAAAATCTCAATTCAAAAAATTTTACATGAAGAATTAGGAGTAAGAAAATTAGTTTCTCGTTGGATACCCCACCTGTTGACTGAAGAGCAGAAAGCAGCCAGGGTTAATTTGTGTCAAAAAACGCTTGACAGTTTCAATTTCGGAAACTCAAAAAATGTGTACAGCATTGTTAGTGGTGATTAATTTACTGTTATGAACCAGAAAATAAACGACAGTCGGCTGTTTGAGTGTTACAAGGTGAAGAAAAGCCAACAAAAGTCATCCGTTCTCAAAGTGTTTCGAAAAAGATGGTCGCGACATTTGTGTCAAAATCGGGTCATATTGCAACAATTCCTCTTAATGATCAAAGAACTGTAACTGCGGATTGGTATACCACCATTTGTTTGCCAAAAGTCATCACCGAGCTTCGAAAAATAAACCCCGAAAGAAGAATCTTCCTCCACCAAGACAAACTTAAAGGACATCCCTCGTAACTAGCTGTTTTTCTAAAATCAAAATTTAGCACCAATCTCGCTGACGCAGTAAGTAATAAAATTTCGATTGTGTATCGTTGCTATTGATTACATTTTTTTCAAATTTGTTTTTAGCTCATGATGATGACAGCATAGACTGTCGAAAGTTTGAGTTGTAAGTTAAAAGAGTACACTTCGCATATATCAAAATATCTCGAAAAATCTGTTTCCGAGGGAACAATTTGTAGAACAAAATTGTAAGGCTTTTTAAAATGCTATCTAATTTTGACCTATAAAGTGACTCTGATAGTGAGCTTCAAGGTCATTTGAAGACCAGGGCAGGTTTCTTAAATAGAAACCCTTATTTTTGATGCGAAAAAAAAGGAGCGTACAACTTAATGTTCAAGAATGTATGACCTTGACTATAACCATCAAGGTCATCTGGAGATCGATTAATTTTTAACGGGAAACGAGTTCAAATATATACTTGTTAATGAACCGACCATGATCTAGCTCTCTTTAAGCTCAAATAAACGATTAAGTAAACTTCTTACATCTTGCCGGGTATACAAAAGGGCGAAATACTTTACGGTGAAGGTCTGGTGACAGTCACCTTGACTGTAGCCATTTGAAGGTTAAATGATTCTTTCAATGAGATATTAATGATGATGCTTCCATAATAGTAATTTCACAACTCGCTAAATCCTCGATCATCGTGAAAACATTTAAGGTCACATTCACGGTCTACCTTTAGGACGTTCTCAAATGACCTTGAAGGTCGTAGTCAAGGTCAGTGTCAAAGGCTTACTTGAACGTATAATTTCCCGCTCGTTACATTTCCAGTGTCAAAAGGGGGGGGTTCCATTGAACGAAACTGTCTCTGTCCTTGAATGACCTTGAAGATCATAGACAAGATTACGTCCAAGGTCACGCTTAGATGACCTTACAAGGAACTGCAGGACCACAATGCTTGGTTGTTTTGCGTTTGTATGGGAAGCGACGATGCATCTGAGGGTCAATCTCAGGGATTTTTCAGGTTAAGTAATATTTGTGTACTATTAACGTTATCACTTAGTTGACAGTGATTGTGAACAACATGGATTATGAAGGGCTTCTAAAATTTATTGAAAATCACTGAGTATATTTTCCCATAGCTTCTTCTGTTGCTTGGACTTCCCTTGGATCCCTCTTTGGGGGTTGTACAAGTTGCTTATTTCTTGCCAGCTCTTGCTGTTTTCATACACCACCGTTTTTTTTTATTTTATTCGATAATATCTTTGGACTCTTCAATAATGCTGCATAATAGGAATTTTCCCCTGAATAATATTTTCGTTCTTCAGCCATGCCAATTTCGAGTACATTAGCACAGGGATACCATCCATTTTCATGAACTTAAGAGTTTGAAACCCTTTGTTATTTGCTGAAGCATTATAAGAGCACATTTTACACAAAAACACTCTTCCGTCAGGCGACTGATTTGATTACGTACGCATATTCGGATTGGTATTTTATCAACAAAATTTTCGAGGGGATCTTGCAGTTTCTACAAAGAGGAGCTCCAAGATATAATAAAGCCATATTTTATAGGAGACAGAAAGTAAAGGCTTCTGTGTGTGACAAAACATTTCAAGATGCTGGAATTTTGCATTCATCTCATTGAGAGGAGGATATTAGAATATACAGGACACTTTTTTGAAATGGAAAAATGGTGTCACAAGCGAAAAAAATGAGACAGAGTAAAATAAATATGAACATTAGGACATGCGGAAAAACGCAATGACTAAAATAAAAAAAATAAAAAATGATACGAACATTTACAAAAGCATATCACTGAATTTATTTGTCAAATACTCATCAATACATTAGAATGCTTTTTTGTTCGATAGTCTAGAAAACAGGTGTATAAAATTAGTCCACAGACCTTTGCCTGTCCATCTGGCGACATTGGCACGCCAGCCAGTGAAGCCAGAGAGCAGACACTGGGATGCGTGTCGAAAAAATAATTTCCCTATGGATTTGAGTAAAATCTATCACGTGTCAATAGCCTTACCGTATTTCTCAACATGGAGTCACCCAAATCCTTCCTCAAGCTGTCTTGCATCTCAGTGTTCCGTCCAAGTAAGTAAAGTGCCCAAACCATGGTATTTGAGGTCGTATCTCCAGCACCCAGCATCAAATCGACTACAATAGTCCTCATTTTGTCATCTTCTATACCTTCTTCACGCATTTTGACCAGTAACCCTTCATCTTTTTCAACGTATTTGTCTAAAAAGTCCAATGTTTGATTGGCAGTGTTCAGTGCTCTGGTGACAGTTCTTTCAAATGTCTTCCATCTGGATATGTTGGACTTTTCAGCTAGAGTTGCTGGGATTAATTGAAGTTTGCAGGTGGTTTCGAAAACTTGCTTTACGTCATCTGCAAGGATGGTTGCAAGGTTTTCGATTTTCTGAAATCAAATGATAAAGAAAACCCAGGATAAATTTCATAATTTCAAAATTTCAAAATTTCAAAATTTCAAAATTTCAAAATTTCAAAATTTCAAAATTTCAAAATTTCAAAATTTCAAAATTTCAAAATTTCAAAATTTCAAAATTTCAAAATTTCAAAATTTCAAAATTTCAAAATTTCAAAATTTGAAAATTTCAAAATTTCCAAATTTCAAAATTTCAAAATTTCCAAATTTCAAAATTTCAAAATTTCAAAATTTCAAAATTTCAAAACGTCGCCTTCTAACCCTGGCACGACCATCGTGCATGCCTAAACAAAATCGAGACTCGTCACTAAAGACAATACTGTTCCATTCCTGATCCCAGAGTGACCGTTGTCTGCACCACTCAAGGCGATTACGTCGGTGTTCTCGAGTTAAAGGGAGGACCCAGTGTGGCCGGTATGAAAACAAGCCAAAACTGCTCATTCATCGGTAAACACTTCGCATACCAATAGGTCTTCCGTGTTCTGCAAACCATTCATTTGCAATGGACCTGGTAGTGGAGAAACGGTCCCTTAAGGCCAATAATCTTAGGCGGCGATCTTCACGGTCTGTTGTTCTACGGCGGCGTTCAGTGCCACTTGCTCTTTGCGTACGGCCTTCTCGAAGCCATGCCTGACAACACCTAACCACAGTGTCTAGACTTCTTTGCACTCTAACTGCAATTGCCCGAAAAGAGAGTCCAGCTTCCCGAAGTCCCACTATACGGCCCCTATCAAACTCACTAAGTTGACGAAATCGTACAGGTCTCCGTACTCTAGGCATCATAACCGATCGTAAAGGATGTCAAGAACCAAAATCCGCCAACGTTGATTCTTTACTGCGGCTGAAATATTCATTTTTAGAGCGTTAGTGAATTAAAAAAAAGCAGTATAAAAACCGGAATGTCTAACTGATAAGGCTAAAATTTGTTATTTTGAAATTTTGAAATTTTGAAATTTCAAAATAACAAATTTTAGCCTTATCAGTTAGACATTCCGGTTTTTATACTGCTTTTTTTTAATTCACTAACGCTCTAAAAATGAATATTTCAGCCGCAGTAAAGAATCAACGTTGGCGGATTTTGGTTCTTGACATCCTTTACGATCGGTTATGATGCCTAGAGTACGGAGACCTGTACGATTTCGTCAACTTAGTGAGTTTGATAGGGGCCGTATAGTGGGACTTCGGGAAGCTGGACTCTCTTTTCGGGCAATTGCAGTTAGAGTGCAAAGAAGTCTAGACACTGTGGTTAGGTGTTGTCAGGCATGGCTTCGAGAAGGCCGTACGCAAAGAGCAAGTGGCACTGAACGCCGCCGTAGAACAACAGACCGTGAAGATCGCCGCCTAAGATTATTGGCCTTAAGGGACCGTTTCTCCACTACCAGGTCCATTGCAAATGAATGGTTTGCAGAACACGGAAGACCTATTGGTATGCGAAGTGTTTACCGATGAATGAGCAGTTTTGGCTTGTTTTCATACCGGCCACACTGGGTCCTCCCTTTAACTCGAGAACACCGACGTAATCGCCTTGAGTGGTGCAGACAACGGTCACTCTGGGATCAGCAATGGAACAGTATTGTCTTTAGTGACGAGTCTCGATTTTGTTTAGGCATGCACGATGGTCGTGCCAGGGTTAGAAGGCGACGTGGTGAAAGGAGGAATCCACAGTTTTTTGTTGAAAGACATGTTCATCACACTGTTGGAGTTATGGTTTGGGGTGCTATAGCTTATGGTTCCAGGTCACCTTTAATCTTCATCAGAGTTAACATGAATGCGCAGCATTATATCCACGAAGTTCTAGAACCCCATCTTTTACCCTATCTTGACACCCTGGCGGATCCAACTTTCCAACAAGATAATACCCGACCACATGTTGCAAGAGTCACAATAGACTTCTTTCAACATAATGATGTCACATTGTTACCATGGCCACCAAGATCTCCCGACTTATCCCCAATTGAGCACGTGTGGGATATGATGGGTAGGAGATTGCTCAATTTGCAACGTCCTCCTCAGACTCTAGAAGCACTTCGAGAGGAGTTGGTGGTTGCCTGGAATGAGATACCACAGGAGCACATTGACCACCTGATCAGAAGCATGCCTAGGCGCGTTGGAGAATGCGTAGCACTTCAGGGTGCATCCACACATTATTAAAGGTCAAAGGGCTTTAAAGCAGTGCAATCATTTTGAAATTTTTATCATTTACTTATTATGCTTCATTAAGTACTTATACAAAATTTTATTAAAATAAAACCATTTAAACTGGGTGTTTCAAATTTCAAAATTCAAAATTTCAAAATTTCAAAATTTCAAATTCAAAATTTCAAAATTTCAAATCAAAATTTCAAAATTTCAAATTTCAAAATTTCAAAATTTCAAAATTTCAAATTTCAAAATTTCAAAATTTCAAAATTTCAAAATTTCAAAATTTCAAAATTTCATTCAAAATTTCAAAATTTCAAAATTTCAAATTTCAAAATTTCAAAATTTCAAAATTTCAAAATTTCAAAATTTCAAAATTTCAAAATTTCAAAATTTCAAAATTTCAAAATTTCAATATTTCAAAATTTCAAAATTTCAAAATTTCAAAATTTCAAAATATCAAAATTTCAAATTTCAAAATTTTTAAAACAATCGAAGTTTTCAAAATTTTCAACATTTCCAACATTTTCAAAATCTCCAATATTTTCACAATTTGAAATTTTCTAAATTTCAAAAATATTCATTACTATTTTGCAGTGTTTAGTAACAAGCTTAGAAATTTGTGACACTGCGTGTTTCACTCATTAATACGTAAAACTCTTTGGTCATAATCATTTATTTTCGTCATCAGAACTTACTACAAAGAATATTGCTACTTACACGTGAAGTCCTCTCTCTGGACGAGCACTCAAAAAAAAGGGAGGAGGACCATTAATTAACGTGCAACATCAAAAATGCACAGATCACAAAATAAAATATTGATAAATAAGAACACTAATATTGAAAAACTATAAAATAATGTTCTATAGTATCAGTTTGTAAAATTTTAACCATACAACATATCTTGTTGCTGAGCGAACGACAATTCGATGCTAAAGTCCACAAATTGAATTTTGAGAACGAAGATATATGAAAACGTAACTACGTATGAAAAATGTAATATGTTTCTACAAGCGAAATGAGAACGTCAAACTGTGGAAGCATGCATTCGGAGATAGGGAGGGAGCAGATTTATGAGCATTTTTATATGTATACTATTAGGCAAAACTGCTGTTACTTGCAAATTATACTAAGTGACATATAAATCCGAACACCCAGTTTAAATGGTTTTATTTTAATAAAATTTTGTATAAGTACTTAATGAAGCATAATAAGTAAATGATAAAAATTTCAAAATGATTGCACTGCTTTAAAGCCCTTTGACCTTTAATAATGTGTGGATGCACCCTGAAGTGCTACGCATTCTCCAACGCGCCTAGGCATGCTTCTGATCAGGTGGTCAATGTGCTCCTGTGGTATCTCATTCCAGGCAACCACCAACTCCTCTCGAAGTGCTTCTAGAGTCTGAGGAGGACGTTGCAAATTGAGCAATCTCCTACCCATCATATCCCACACGTGCTCAATTGGGGATAAGTCGGGAGATCTTGGTGGCCATGGTAACAATGTGACATCATTATGTTGAAAGAAGTCTATTGTGACTCTTGCAACATGTGGTCGGGCATTATCTTGTTGGAAAGTTGGATCCGCCAGGGTGTCAAGATAGGGTAAAAGATGGGGTTCTAGAACTTCGTGGATATAATGCTGCGCATTCATGTTAACTCTGATGAAGATTAAAGGTGACCTGGAACCATAAGCTATAGCACCCCAAACCATAACTCCAACAGTGTGATGAACATGTCTTTCAACAAAAAACTGTGGATTCCTCCCTTCACCACGTCGCCTTCTAACCCTGGCACGACCATCGTGCATGCCTAAACAAAATCGAGACTCGTCACTAAAGACAATACTGTTCCATTCCTGATCCCAGAGTGACCGTTGTCTGCACCACTCAAGGCGATTACGTCGGTGTTCTCGAGTTAAAGGGAGGACCCAGTGTGGCCGGTATGAAAACAAGCCAAAACTGCTCATTCATCGGTAAACACTTCGCATACCAACAGGTCTTCCGTGTTCTGCAAACCATTCATTTGCAATGGACCTGGTAGTGGAGAAACGGTCCCTTAAGGCCAATAATCTTAGGCGGCGATCTTCACGGTCTGTTGTTCTACGGCGGCGTCCAGTGCCACTTGCTCTTTGCGTACGGCCTTCTCGAAGCCATGCCTGACAACACCTAACCACAGTGTCTAGACTTCTTTGCACTCTAACTGCAATTGCCCGAAAAGAGAGTCCAGCTTCCCGAAGTCCCACTATACGGCCCCTATCAAACTCACTAAGTTGACGAAATCGTACAGGTCTCCGTACTCTAGGCATCATAACCGATCGTAAAGGATGTCAAGAACCAAAATCCGCCAACGTTGATTCTTTACTGCGGCTGAAATATTCATTTTTAGAGCGTTAGTGAATTAAAAAAAAGCAGTATAAAAACCGGAATGTCTAACTGATAAGGCTAAAATTTGTTATTTACATTAAGATAAATACATTCACCAACTTTTATTAAAATAAAACTATTTAAACTGGGTGTTCGGATTTATATGTCACTTAGTATAAATCTTTTGGTTATTGCAGAAACCTGAAATTCATTGTGTGGTATGGACGCCATCTTAGAACATTTTTATCTTTAATGCGAATCATGATACCACATTTTTAAACTCATTATCTTTGACCTTGGAATACAAAATCGCTATCTTTCACAATAGCGCTCTAGCAAACTGTTTTGGTTAAGCCTTTTTGTAAATTGAACTAAGCAACCAATCATCAAAACGCTATACGCTAAAATACAGATATCTTTGGAAGAGTCTATTCGATTTTTTTAAAAAAATTGCCACATTCAAACAAACCTTGATGTAAAATGGTTTTTTAATTTATCTGCACATTTTCAATGCTTATTTTCTTTGTTATCTTCTCTATTTTTGACAATTTCAAAATCACTTTTAGCATACAAAAACTAATGAATTTTGAAAATTTTGGAAGCATTTTGAAGAAAATTTGATGATGATTTTGAAAATCTTGAAAATTATTATAAATGTACATCTCTATATGAGCTACTGTTCGTTTAATATCCAAGGACGGATCAACCTTCAATCCACTCTAAATATGGGCCTTAATTAACTTAATCCACTGACCTTATAGTTAGTCCTATATGACTCAGCACCCATCAAAACGGCTAGGACAGTGTCTGTAGACCACTTGTACAGCCTCCTTTCCAGATCTCCGAACTCCTGACCAGAAGTCCGTGCTATCTGCTCTAAAAACACGTCATTGCTTGCTTCACAACATTCTTCAATCCACGTCAAATCGCCTTTGAGAAGCAGTCTGTTCATTTTCCTTCTGTAAGTTAGCCAATCTTCTCCGTCCATGAAAAATAAGCCTCTTGTGCAGTCATGTTTCTTGTTATATACTAGCCAGGCTTCGGGTTTGATATGGACCGGGTACTTTCCTGGAAATATATAGGATGCTGGAGAATGTAAGAAAAATTTATTCAACCTAAATAAAAGTGGACCTAAATCGCGGGCTTAATTTGATTCCCACCAAGATCTGTGGACTTGAATCCACTAATTTCATGATTGTGGTTGCTTCGGAGACGGTAACAAGAGTAGACAGGGTTTGTATGTTCGGGGACGCCCTTGAGCGCCGACCTTCGATACCAAACGACCTTGAGAGTTGACCTTCGGTGCCGACCTTGAAATGTGACCTTGAAGTGTGACCTTGAAACGCTGCCTTCAGTTTCCGAGTGACCTTGAAGTGTGACCTTGAGTTTTCGAGTGACCTTGAAATGTGACATTGGAGTATGACCTTGAATTGGGACCTTGAGTTTCCGATTGACCTTGAAGTGTGACCTTGAACATATATGACCTCGAGCACTCAAAGTTTGATTGATCTCGCCAATTAATTTTAAGCTGCACAAAGCTGTTTAAGTAAAATGGATGGGGAATTTAAAGAATATCTACCTTCATTGGCGAAAACCTTCCTCATTTCTTCAGGTTCAGATACAAACACGGCAGTCACCGGGCCCACATTGTCCTTGAAAATCGATCCTAACTCTGTATGCCTGCGATCTATGTATTTATGTAACTTTTTCGGACCACCAGCCAAAATTAGGGACAATGTTGTTCCAATGACCGGCAGACCCTTCGGAGTCGGCACTTCCCCGTAGTCGAGTACTGCGGAATAGCTTGCAAAGCCTCTTCTGGATGTCCTCCACGAAAGTGCTGGATCAAAGATAAACATATAAAAATTAAAAAGCATATCGAACAGACGAAGTAAAAGCACATTATCACTGCTTTGGGATGCAGGAATGTGGGCTAATGCTTCCAAAACACAGTATTATCTTAAGTCAAACTTCCTACATCCAGAGCTGGCCGATACGAGCGCTCCTTTGCCTCTAGGGTATCGATATTCTGGAACATTCTACCTGAGAAGGCATTACACTTTTACTGAGTAGTTCAAAAATCGAATTAACAAGGTCCATAAATAAATTTTGCACCACTAAAAGTTATCCTGAAGCTGCTTGGAACAAGAGGAAACAGTTAGTTGTATATTCAAAGCACAAAGTTTTACTGTGTCGCTCGAAAAATACGTATATGATTTTTTCTACCATATGCAGCGATTCACCATCTCTCATGTTGTTGTAACAAAGTTGATAAAAGCCCTTCAGTACATTCTATTACAGAAGCGTTCCCTTGCTGGACACATATATGTTCTTTTTTATTTGTACTTGCAAGTTGAACAATATTATCAGAATAATATTCCCGAACTAATTTAAATTACAGTTTATTGTTATTATACTTCGCTTAATGAAATTTACATACGTACTAGTAGCTCCAATGCTCGGCAGGCATGATGTTTCTGAAGTCCCAGGTAGGCATATTGTCCCTAAAGTCACAGGCGTAGTAGTTCCAACGCACGGTAGGCATGCTGGTTCAGAATGTGCGGATCTAGTGGTCCAGCTGTTTGGTAGGCAGCTCTCGGAAGTAGCTCTAATGTTCGGTAGGCACGGTGTCTCGATCGCAGCAACAGTAGTAGTTCTAAAATTCGGTAGGCCGCTTGTCGCGAAACGCAGATTCCCGAACTTGGCACCGGAAGTACCGGCGAGTACTCGCTTGCCTATCATGATGTCGCATCCGAGTCTAGATGCAGCAGAGTACAAGCGCGCGGTGCATCACTGTAACTGTAAGCTGTTGGTTCAGCTAGGCATGACCAACCAATCTCGAATTTTGTCGTGAGATGCTGAAATATGACTCCTAGCAAAGGCAATATGGTACAGACGGACGGCGAGGTTCTTGCACCCTTTGTTTATTGCTACCAACCAGAGGCGGCGAGGTCAGCGATGATATGACGAAAAAATAACGGGATGCGCGTTTTTAGATGTTCGCCGTGTTTACAGAAGTGATTTCAGTAATCTTATCAGTGTTCTGTGATTAATATGAATTGTTTATACAGGGTGTCGAAACGGAAATGGAATGTAGTTTTATTAACAAACTGGAAAAGATATAAAAAATCTGTTTTCGTGGCAGAATTGATATGTTAGAAGTGATTTTTTTGAAAATATTCAAATATATACAGGGTGCTCTATAACTTCGTGCCACATCATACACCCTTGGAAACTATTGCAACAATTTCATAATGAGCTGCGTTAAGACGAGTCTTGTTCTGCGAGAAAAATTCATTGTTTCCATGAAAGATCTGATATTAAGTCTAATGTATAATGTATGATTTTTTTTAATTAATAGCAATGCCACGAAAACTGTTCGGAAAAGTAATATAAACCTAACATCAAAAAAAAGTACTCAGGGAAAGCTATTCAATAATGTAGAAATATACAGGGTGTTCCATTTGAAATTTATGAGAAAAGGTAAATTTATCGTTCTGAGATACTCTGTATAAATAGAAAGATATTTTACCATTATTTCAGATAAATAAAATTGATGGTAATGAAATTTTTGTGAACTTAAATTTATCTAAATGTCTTCAAAAATGGCGGAGCCGAGAACCGTCGAAGTTGACATTTTATCAAATATCTAAAGAAATGACAATTAAACCACATGCTATATGATATCAAACATCTTGTTTTCAGAAGCTCCATCTAAATATGCAATACAATTTAGGGTATTGTATTAAAAAAACACAAATATCCGAAGTAGTGTAACACCCCGTATACAGGATGACTTCGAAGTTGAGTCATCTATTTTAACAGTGAGTACATCTGATCAAAAGAAATGTTTTTTTCCTTTACCATTTTTCTGGTAAAATTAAAGTAACAAAGTTATAGCCCTTTGGAAGTTTGAGTACCGCCCTGTCTCAATAATAATATTATGTGCTCGTGTCTGGCGACAACGGATATAATCCGCCTTATCGGTTCATCGCATCGGAAACAAAAAAGCGAAAGAATTTGGAACGATGTTTTTACAATTATTTTATTCAGTTCAGTTGTATACAGTCAGTGTCAGTCGGTAACGCGTGAGTGAATAGTGGTGTCTGTTGCGTGGCTCAAACGAACGGTAGTTTTTTTCGCTACTAACCTGAGAAATCGCTATTATTCATCGCGTTCCTCGAAGAAGAAGTACTACATTCCTTTCCGTAAGTAAATATTGATAATTGATTCTTCTTCCATACTTCTTGTATACACACGTGAATGTCTGTCCAGTCTGTCAAGATCACTTGTGAATCACAATACAATATTTCTACACTTACTAATTGAAACACGAGGAAGACTATATATAGACATGGTTTTATCAGAGAAAATATACAAGGTTTGGAATATATAGGGACATCAGGAAGGTACTTAAAAACCACAAAAGAGATTGTGAGATTTTCCACCTAAACACAACTAGTCCAACATATGTCTTCAGAACGGCATGTGTTTAATTTTGATTCTTGCTTGGTCTTATGTAGGAATAATAATTATAAAAAAGATTTTCCAGGAAGTATTGGAGATCAAAAATCACAATAATGCAGTTCATAAAAGGACAGACATGGTAGATTTAAGTAATATGTGCTACATTAATATTCATTCCATGAAAACTAAGTAACAACCACCACATACTTAGCAGCAACGAAAGGGTAAAACACCAAACGTAGCAAAATAGTAGTTCAGCTATTTACTATTCAAAGATAATTTTCTCCTTTTCACCACTCTATGTCTAGCTATACCCCGTAAAAGTATTTCACTGTTATGTTGATAAGTCTAAATGATAATATCTACGATGTGCATAACGTTGAAATCATTTTTGACCATCGAGTAGAAGGGTGAATTCGCGATAATTCTGAAAACGAAACACGGAAAAAGGAACTTTCTTCCTTTTGAATACTTATCTAAATTACGAATCATTTAATCTTTGCTTTTTTAGGTTTGTATACGTTGGGAATTTCTATGTGGTGAATGAAAATTCGAGAATGTCTTTAAATATTTAGTTCCTGTTATATAACGTCTCAACTAAACTAAAAACCTTTTGTATCGATTTTATTATTAGAATTGTTAATTAATTATACATTTTTTTATTTTTATATATTACATATAGAGCTTTTTTGTAGAGCTCTGAACGAGGAGATACATTTTTCCGCAACGTCGGCAGTTTCGTAACAGGAAGCTGTCCCTCTTTAGACCCCAAATCCAATTAGTTACAACAAATTTGATATACGAGGTAATTGAAAAGATCAATACTTCGAAAATTACGTTTCCAAGAGACAAATGCACTAGAACAAAGTTGCAAAGTTCGAAAGGGTGATCTTGATAGCCAAAACAATGTTCTTTGGTGATACCCGCAGGAGATGTAAGGACGGAAAATTAACGTGATAAGTCTTTTTCCAAAAATAGGGGTTGGCATCGAGAATCAAGTCCTATCGCCCTTATCGCTTGCCAAACGTGGATAACTTTTCGCTCCGTCACCAAGTAGGTTTTAGTTCCAAATCTCAAAAGTGACACTTTTGAAACCTCACAACTTCACTCTGCAACATTTTTCTCTGTGTGACATGCTTTTAAAATGATCATGGAGGTCAAAGTCATGTACAAGGTCATACTCAAACGTAAAATTTCCTCATGTTCATTTCCAAGGTCAGAAATAGCAGTTTTTGAGGGAAAATATCTTGACCTTAGAATGACCTTGACGGTCATGTTAAAGGTCACGTTCACGGATGGATGCCCTTTTTTCAACTTTGTTCTACAACATTTTGCCATTTGAAAGACGAGATGTAAATAATATAAAATTTTATTTTAAGGTGTGTCTATGGCCTCGACTATGACCATCAATGTAATTTGAAGATCAAATGCATTTTAAACGGGAAACATTTATTTTTACCTCCTGAAATGCAAATTGTGTGTAATTTCAGGTTCAAGCATATTCTTCCCAATGGACTTGAACTTGACATTCAGATAGATTTTTAAGTAAACTCGTTACTTTTTGTCAATGATAGAAAAAGCGAAACATTTTACAGTCAAGGTTACTACCATGTACATTACCGTCACTTCAGGTCATTTGAATGTCAAATGATTTTTTCAACGGGATGCTATGTTGTTCCCAGAACAGTAATCTACGAGCCCTCAACAACTCGCTTATCACCGAACCTTCAAGGTCGTGGTCAAAGTCACGTTCAAGGTCACCTCTAGCAACCCTTTTGAAACCGTACAACTTTGCTTTGCAACAGTTTTCTCTGGGTGGCATGCTTTTCGAGATATTTTGTTCTCTCCATCACGCCCTAAAATGACCTTGGAGGTCAAGGTTGTGTACAAGATCATGTTCAAACATAAAACTTCCACATCTTCATTTCCATGGTCAGAAATGGGGATTTCTGATGAAAACTATATTGACCTTTAAATGACCTTGACGGTCACGTTCAGGATTGGATGGCCTTTGTTAAACTTTGTTCTACAGCATAGTTGTCGTTTGAAGGTCCAGATACTTTTCTTAAGTGGAGACCCGTATTTTTGAGTCTATAAATGTATAGAGCAGAAAAATTTATGTTCAGGTCCATGGTCTTGCCTATGACCATCAATGTTATTTGAAGATCAAATGCATTTTTAACGGAAAACATCTATTTTTAACTCCTGAAATGCAAATTGCGTCTAATTTCACGTTCAAGCATATTTTTCCCAATGGGCTTGAACATGACATTCAAGATCATTAAAACGTCAGATAAATTTTCAAGTAAACTCTTTACTTTTTGTTGAGGATATCGAAAAAGCGAAACATTTTATAATCAAGGTTGCTACCATGTACATTACCGTCTCTTCAAGGTGATTTGAAAGTCAAATGATTTTTTCAACGGGATGCTATGTTGTTCCCAGAACAGTAATCTACGAGCCTTCAACAACTCGCTTATCACCGAACCTTCAAGGTCGTGGTCAAAGTCACGTTCAAGCTCACCTCTAGTTACCCTTTTTAAAACCTTACCACTTTGTTTTCCAACGTTTTGCTCTGGGTGGCATGCTTTTCGAGATATTTTGTTCTCTCCATCACGCCCTAAAATGATCTTGGAGGTCAAGGTTGTGTACAAGATCATGTTCAAACATAAAACTTCCACATCTTCATTTCCATGGTCAGAAATGAGGGTTTCTGATGAAAACTATATTAACCTTTAATTGACTTTGACGGTCATATTCAAGGTCACGTTCAGGGTTGGATGGCCTTTTTAAACTTTGTTCTATAGCATATTTGTCGTTTGAAGGTCGAGACACTTTTCTTAATTGGAGACCCGTATTTTTGTCACTAGAAATGTATAGAGCAGGAAAATTTATGTTCAGGTCCATGGTCTTGCCTATGACCATCAATGTTATTTGAAGATCAAATGCATTTTAAACGGGAAACATCTACTTTTACCTCCTGAAATGCAAATTGTGTGTAATTTCACGTTCAAGCATATTCTTCCCAATGGACTTGAACTTGACATTCAGATAGATTTTTAAGTAAACTCGTTACTTTTTGTCGATGATATAGAAAAAGTGAAACATTTTACAGTCAAGGTTACTACCATGTACATTACGGTCACTTCAAGGTCATTTGAATGTCAAATGATTTTTTCACCGGGATGCTATGTTGTTCCCAGAACAGTAATCTACGAGCCTTCAACAACTCGCTTATTACGGAACCTTCAAGGTCGTGGTCAAAGTCACGTTCAAGTTCACCTCTAGTAACCTTTTTGAAACCGTACAACTTTGCTTTGCAACAGTTTTCTCTGGGTGGCATGCTTTTCGAGATATTTTGTTCTCTCCATCACGCCCTAAAATGACCTTGGAGGTCAAGGTTATGTACAAGATCATGTTCAAACATAAAATTTCACCATCTTCATTTCCATGGTCAGAAATGGGGGTTTCTGATGAAAACTATATTGACCTTTAGATGACCTTGACGGTCATATTTCAGGTCACGTTCAGGGTTGGATGGCCTTTTTAAACTTTGTTGTACAGCATATTTGTCGTTTGAAGGTCGAGATACTTTTCTTAAGTGGAGACCCGTATTTTTGCCACTAGAAATGTATAGAGCAGAAAAATGTATGTTCAGGTCCATGGTCTTGCCTATGACCTTCAATGTTATTTGAAGATCAAATGCATTTTTAACGGAAAACATCTATTTTTAACTCCTGAAATGCAAATTGCGTCTAATTTCACGTTCAAGCATATATTTCGTAATGGGCTTGAACATGACATTCAAGGACATTAAATCGTCAGATAAATTATCAAGTAAACTCTTTACTTTTGGTTGGGGATATAGGAAAAGCGAAACATTTCACACTCAATGTTACTACCATGTACATTACCGTCACTTCAAGGCCGTTTGAATGCCAAATGATTTCTCTAACGGAATGCTGCAATGTTGTTCGCAGAATACTAATCTCACGTCCCTCTGACCAGCGGCTCATCGCGGAACCGTCAATGTGGTGGGCAAAGTCCCGTTCAAGGTCACCTTCGATGACCCTTTTGAAACCTTACAACTTTGCTTTGCAATCTTTTTCTTTGGGCAGCATCCTTTTCGAGATACTTTTTTTTCTCCATGACGTTTTAAAACGACCTTGAAGGTCAAGTTCATATCCGAACGTAAAGTTTCCGAGGGTGAGAAATAGCGGTTTCTGAAGAAAACTATCTTGACCTTAAAACGACCTTGACGGTCGCATTTTAAATCACGTTCGGGGTGAATTTCGAATGACCTTTTAAGCTTCAAACTTTGTTCTACTACATTTTTCTCTATGAAACGTATTTTGATGTATCCATACTTTTTGGACATCCTGTATGTAAGTGTACCTGTAAAAGGTCTTCCATTATTGGAAAATATTCAACCTACCCCTACGTATAGCATTTACATAACGTCTGTAACGGAAATTTGATCGTGCTCATCTTTCTTTATTTTGGCTTTGACGTCACTCAGAAAAATATCTCAATTTTTCTGCCGTGAAAATAATATTGCAATCGCTTTTTCCCTTCATTTGTAGAAGAATGTGTTTACTGTTCCGAAAATACCTTTTGAAAAAGGTACGGGATCGCTATGCTCGACAATAAAATGATTGCAACCGATTCTGGCTGCAAACATGATCTTTTTCAAAACAAAACTGCGGACGGCAATTTAAAGGTCAAGGATATCAAATGGTTATTCCGACGAGTAGCTCACTTTTTTATACTTATAAATCTGTTTAGCGATGCACGGCTGTCACTTGATACTTTCAATGTTGTGGGGGTTTTATTTTCATGAAGCAAACGAGCTGTTTATTTTATAAAATATGTGCTTTCAAAACAGTCTCTCCGTCTACTTATTTTTTGAAACCGGCAAGTTGGCATGCTGAAGTTAGGAGTACAAAAATTGATGCGTGATTACTATACAGGGTGTTCCTTAATGATATGCGAATATTTAAGGGTGTGAATCTATAAGAAAAATTATGTTAGTTTGGTCCAAAAATGTTACCTTACAAAAATTCGGTGTTGAAGTTTTAGGAAAAAAATTGAAATTAATTAGTATTTTAATTAATTATCTTTTGATCTATACAATTTCTCTTTTCTACCGACAGATTAATCGTCTTAAATTGAAAAACTTTGTTATATTTCTGTTGAGCTTTTTCCACGTAATCCTCATTTGATTGCTTAAATTCGTAGACGCTGTAATTACGTCAGGGCGCGTTCTTATAGTACGAATTTGAACCGGGGACTTTATACTTTTGATTCGGCATTCTTAGTAAAGAAGCCATTTGATCCAAAAATATACAGGGCGCCTCGCAATGAACGGTCAAGAAGTGATGCAAAATTAAAGAAAGTCGCTGTTAGTCTGCTTTTCTTCAGCAGATATCGGCTTGTCACTCTAAATTCCTGCATGTAGAGTGCTGTCATTAGCAAAGTTGTGGTTTGGATTGACCAATGCTGGAGCCAAGATTGATCCCTGAGGAACACCGGCGTTGACATGTGATGAAAATGTCTGACTTCTAGATCACTAAATCGGCTTTTTGATGAAAGGTCTGGAGGTCTTTAAGTTGCGTAATAATACGCGCCATGGTCGTTACCCCCCTGACCTTGACCGCAAGAGTTCAATCTTACCACAATTATTTCGGATTGAATCAAAAGACAATCTCATTGAGGAATCTCCTACCAGGTGGCAAATTACGTCGAATATAATAAAATTACGTTTATTTATGAAAGCGCGAATGTGTAGGGGAGGATTCAATTAATATTTATACGTTCCATTTCCAGGAATTTAGAAGGGTTGATCATCATGCTACCCTGTTAACCCATGTACAATAAAGCTGTCTTCAAAACATATATACTAAGTGACATATAAATCCGAACACCCAGTTTAAATGGTTTTATTTTAATAAAATTTTGTATAAGTACTTAATGAAGCATAATAAGTAAATGATTGCACTGCTTCAAAGCCCTTTGACCTTTAATAATGTGTGGATGCATCCTGATGTGCTACGCATTCTCCAACGCGCCTAGGCATGCTTCTGATCAGGTGGTCAATGTCCTCCTGTGGAATGAGATATCATTCCAGGCAATCACCAACTCCTCTCGAAGTGCTTCTAGAGTCTGAGGAGGACGTTGCAAATTGTGCAATCTCCTACACATCATATCCCACACGTGCTCAATTGGGGATAAGTCGGGAGATCTTGGTGGCCATGGTAACAATGTGACATCATTATGTTGAAAGAAGTCTATTGTGACTCTTGCAACATGTGGTCGGGCATTATCTTGTTGGAAAGTTGGATCAGCCAGGGTGTCAAGATAGGGTAAAAGATGGGGTTCTAGAACTTCGTGGATATAACGCTGCGCGTTCATGTTACCTCTGATGAAGATTAAAGGTGACCTGGAACCATAAGCTATAGCACCCCAAACCATAACTCCAACAGTGTGATGAACATGTCTTTCAACAAAAAACTGTGGATTCCTCCTTTCACCACGTCGCCTTCTAACCCTGGCACGACCATCGTGCATGCCTAATCAAAATCGAGACTCGTCACTAAAGACAATACTCTTCCATTCCTGATCCCAGAGTGTCCGTTGTCTGCACCACTCAAGGCGATTACGTCGGTGTTCTCGAGTTAAAGGGAGGACCCAGTGTGGCCGGTATGAAAACAAGCCAAAACTTCTCATTCGTCGGTAAACACTTCTTATGCCAATAGGTCTTCCGTGTTCTGCAAACCATTCATTTGCAATGGACCTGGTAGTGGAGAAACGGTCCCTTAAGGCCAATAATCTTAGGCGGCGATCTTTACGGTCTGTTGTTCTACGGCGGCGTCCAGTGCCCCTTGCTCTTTGCGTACGGCCTTTTTGAAGCCATGCCTGACAACACCTAACCACAGTGTCTACACTTCTTTGCACTCTAAGTGCAATTGCCCGAAAAGAAAGTCCAGCTTCCCGAAGTCCCACTATACGGCCCCTATCAAACTCACTAAGTTGACGAAATCGTACAGGTCTCCGTACCTTAGGCATCGTAACCGATCGTAAAGGATGTCAAGAACCAAAATCCGCCATCGTTGATTCTTTACTGCGGCTGAAATATTCACTAATTCACAGCGTTAGTGAATTAAAAAAAAGCAGTATAAAAACCGGAATGTCCAACTGATAAAGCTGAAAATTTTTTCACTTGTTATTTACAGTAAGATAAATACATTCACCAACTTTTATTAAAATAAAATCATTTAAACTGGGTGTTCGGATTTATATGTCACTTAGTATATTTCACTGATATTTAGTACGTAGTGAAAGTTAATAAAGTTGCATATCTTTCAATCCAAAAATAATTTTTTTTATCAAGCAAACTAACATTAATTTCACCCTTAAATATTCGCACATCATTAAGGAAACACCCTGTATTTCCGCATGAAAGTGACAGTTGACAGTTTCAATATAGCAGCTAAGCACCATTTGAAACAAGTTTTAAAATAGAGTGAGGCGTCTTCTTAACCCACCGGACTCATGTATTGTAAAAGGATACACCCGAAAAGATCTCAAATACAAAAGAAATGATACCTCACCAGTTCTATCTAACGCAGTATCTTATGTGTAATTTGAAAATGAACTTACATTGATACATGAGAAACAACGCATCACCTTTGCACTACCTTGTTTGAATCCAAAATCATTACTGTAGAATTGTATTCACGCTGAAAACAGGATGTTAAATAGTACAACTGAACCGAGAAATTATGTTTTCAAATTAATAAAGATTGTCTTGGACTCTGGTACCGTTTAAAATTTATTTAAACATTCCTGAATATTATTATAATCTGTGTGGTCAGCTGCATAAAACGAAATATCAGAGCTGCTAGGTTCACGTCATTTCATGACGGCTGCTATAGATCTTTTCGCAGTTTTTAGCTAGACAAAGCTCACAGTAGAACTATAAGAATTTTCACATATTAAGGTAATAATAATAAGGCTTATTATTATTATTACCTTGTGATGGAAGGGTTTTCGAATAGTGAGTGGAAGGAGCATCCCTCTATTACCTAATTTAAGTGCGTGTGAGCGTGTGCAAGAGAGAGTAGCAGGTACCTTACGGATCGGCTTGCCCAATGTGCGATTTTCCTTGGGAAAGTTAAGCAACGCACATGGTACCCGTTTGCTTATTTCGTATACGATAATTCCGACCTGCTTGCACGATTATTTATTGCGACAAGCTTGGCAACGCTTTTTGAGAATATTATTCATTCCATCCCAGATTAAACGTGTTTTTTCCTCTAAAGGCAACGTAGCAACGTTAAACGTGGTAAAATTCTTTTAAAGATATTATCGAAAAATGTGGGTGAATGGAACATAAGCTTGAAAAGAATTGTAGGTCAATATTAGCTACCTGTTGAACTATTTACGAAATATACCACAATATTTTTTTGAAGTTGGACATCGTACGGGAAAAATAAATAAAACTGATCGAATTAAAATAATATCTAGTGATAATTCACAACAAATATGCACGAACGATTTTCAATAATTATTTTGTTGGAAACGGGATTTTTCGATAATCCCATGATGTTTGTTGTTTACCTGCATTTCCAATTGCTCATACTTAAAATTCATGGAATACTGAGCACAGATAATAATGCCATTTTAATCTGGCTGTTGTTCCGGATTTAATAAAGAGGATCAGCAAATAATGTATGTAGTTTGGAATGAGGTTAAAATAGTAAAAAAGATTATGCTAGATGATAAAATGCCACGGCCATTTTTAAAGTAGGAACCAAGAGCGCATCTTGTCAGGTGGCATCCGTTTAACCTCAGACACTCTTGGCCAATCTCTCACTACTAATCCAATTACACAGGGCGTACCGGGTCGACTCGATAACTCTTTGGGGATAAAGTTTAGGGGGGATTGCTTCAAATAAAAGTTGTAGGATTTTCCCTTGATTTCAATGTTGAAGGTTATTTGAGGGTCAACTTTAAAATTTCAAACGTAAGCCCTTAGTTGCGATTTCGGTTATGAAACGAGCGAAACATTTCACTTCCAAACATAACCTTGAATGACCCTCATACTTGACTTCGACTGATCCCTCAAGGTCAAACTACCACTAATGCTAGATATCGATAACTCTCCCGGATAGCATTTTAGAGAGAAATTAGGATCTCCCTCAACTATCGGTCAGTGACCTTGTATCAACCGTGAAGGTTATTTGAAGGTTAACTTTGAAATTTTAAATACAAGCTCCTAGTTGTGATTCCGGCTCTGAAACAAGCGGAAAATTTTACTTGCAAGTATGACCTTGAATGACCCTTATATTTGACCTTGAGTGATCCCTGAAGGTCAAACTACTACTAATGCTGAACATCAATAACTCTCCCGGAATGTATTTTAGGGAGAAATACTGCAAATAAAAGTTGCAGGATTCTTTCCCAGCTATCGGTCGGTGACCTTGGATCAATCATGAAGGTTATTTAAAGGAAAACCTTGTAATTTCAAATGTAAACTTCTACTTTTGATTTCGGTTAAGAAACGAGCGAAACATTTTACTTCCAAACATAACCTTTAATTATCCTTATATTTGACCCTGAGTAATCCCTCAAGGTCAAACTACCACTAATTCTGGATATCGATAACTCTTCCGGAATGCGGTTTAGTGAGACATGCTTCAGGTAAGAGTTGTAGTATTTTCCCTCAGCTACCAGAAGGTGACCTTGAATTTTATATTGACCTTGATCTTGGTCATTTGAAGGTCAACATCAGAATTTTAAATGTAAACCTCTATCTTTTACCCCGGCAATGAAATTTTACGTTCAGATGGGATCTTGAGTGACCCCTACGTTTGACCTTGAATGACCTCCCGGGCAACTAGGGCAAGGTTAAGGGTTCCGGCGGTAAGAGCTATGTGATAATATCTTGGTGTCCGTTACAAAACGGTTCTTACTTAAAAAATGAGCCTCCGTACTTTGAATTGGATCTGTTGGCTCTCCTTACCAACTACATACAATTTGATTCATGCTTATTAGCAATCATCAGTGCGATGTGCCTTGGAGGCAGGCAAAGGAAAGCAAGCAAGCGGTTAGGAAACAACTAAGGCCTCCTTAAAATAAGAAAACCTCAAGGAGCATTTATGCGAACGACCCAAATGGTGTCAGAGTCAAGTCCGAAGAACAGTAATGTCATTAGCTCGTAATTAAAAAAGTTAGCAAGTATACTGATGAGAATTTAATCGCGTTTATCTTGAAGAATGCCTGTTCCTCTAATTATGTTAGCAAAGGCCCGTTAAGGGCTGTAAATGAGTTATTAAGCTTCCGCTCATTTTTCAAGGTTTCAATGATTATCTGCCGATCCTCTATATTCCCACCTACTTTCAGGCAACTGCTGAAATTGTCGAGGCATCTTTGAGCCGAATCAGTTCTCCAGTAACTTTTCCTCCTACAATTTAGGAAGGATAACTTCTAGGCAATGCCAGATTAATTTCATTTACATAATCCAAGTTTCTAAAAATATTATCGTTTTGTCTTTACAGGTGAACTTTTGTCAGATGATGGCGAGCAAGTGAGAATCGTGGCAATAAAGGTGTTGAAGGACACCGCGAACAGAGAAGCGGAGGAAGATTTTCTCAGGGAGGTGGAAATTATGAGTGCTTTCCGTCACCCCAACATTTTGTCTTTGCTAGGAGTTGTGCTGAAAGGTGGGAGTTTCTTTGTTTGTTCAAATTTATTTGGCGTTAATGCTACAATATTAATGTTACACAGTATATGACATGATATATTATGTCTTCAACCCTACGTATTTTTATATACTAAGTGACATATAAATCCGAACACCCAGTTTAAATGGTTTTATTTTAATAAAATTTTGTATAAGTACTTAATGAAGCATAATAAGTAAATGATAAAAATTTCAAAATGATTGCACTGCTTTAAAGCCCTTTGACCTTTAATAATGTGTGGATGCACCCTGATGTGCTACGCATTCTCCAACGCGCCTAGGCATGCTTCTGATCAGGTGGTCAATGTCCTCCTGTGGTATCTCATTCCAGGCAACCACCGACTCCTCTCGAAGTGCTTCTAGAGTCTGAGGAGGACGTTGCAAATTGAGCAATCTCCTACCCATCATATCCCACATGTGCTCAATTGGGGATAAGTCGGGAGATCTTGGTGGCCATGGTAACAATGTGACATCATTATGTTGAAAGAAGTCTATTGTGACTCCTGCAACATGTGGTCGGGCATTATCTTGTTGGAAAGTTGGATCTGCCAGGGTGTCAAGATAGGGTAAAAGATGGAGTTCTAGAACTTCGTGGATATAACGCTGCACGATCATGTTACCTCTGATGAAGATTAAAGGTGACCTGGAACCATAAGCTATAGCACCCCAAACCATAACTCCAACAGTGTGATGAACATGTCTTTCAACGAAAAACTGCGGATTCCTCCTTTCACCACGTCGCCTTCTAACCCTGGCACGACCATCGTACATGCCTAAACAAAATCGAGACTCGTGACTAAAGACAATACTGTTCCATTCCTGATCCCAGAGTGACCGTTGTCTGCACCACTCAAGGCGATTACGTCGGTGTTCTCGAGTTAAAGGGAGGACCCAGTGTGGCCGGTATGAAAACAAGCCAAAACTTCTCATTCGTCGGTAAACACTTCGCATGCCAATAGGTCTTCCGTGTTCTGCAAACCATTCATTTGCAATGGACCTGGTAGTGGAGAAACGGTCCCTTAAGGCCAATAATCTTAGGCGGCGATCTTCACGGTCTGTTGTTCTACGGCGGCGTCCAGTGCCCCTTGCTCTTTGCGTACGGCCTTCTCGAAGCCAGGCCTGACAACACCTAACCACAGTGTCTACACTTCTTTGCACTCTAACTGCAATTGCCCGAAAAGAAAGTCCAGCTTCCCGAAGTCCCACTATACGGCCCCTATCAGACTCACTAAGTTGACGAAATCGTACAGGTCTCCGTACTCTAGGCATCGTAACCGATCGAACCAAAATCCGCCAACGTTGATTCTTTACTGCGGCTGAAATATTCATTTTTAGAGCGTTAGTGAAAAAAAGCAGTATAAAAACTGGAATGTCCAACTGATAAGGCTGAAAATTTTTTCACTTGTTATTTACAGTAAGATAAATACATTCACCAACTTTTATTAAAATAAAACCATTTAAACTGGGTGTTCGGATTTATATGTCATTTAGTATACAAAATTTCACTACTACGAATTCTGGTTTTCCATGAAACATTTTTTCAATTTCCCCTTGAATATTTTCAAACTGGCACAAATCTTGATCATTATTTAATTTATTTGTACAATCCCTTTTGACTTGACTCCCTCTAGTAGAATAACTATGGTACTCATTGTACAACAAGCAAGGAAGATGATGATTTTTTAACTTGAATATGAAAATGAAAACAAATAGGTTATACACTTTTTGATATTTAACCATTGTAGTTCTTTCAGCATAACATTCATTCTAGTATATTTATTTTTATTTAAGATTCTCATACTTATTTCGTGATATTTGTAATTTTGAAAATATAGTTTTGTTTGCAGTGAACAAAATAGTCGAACAATGCGAGAAATAGGGAAGAACGATAGTGTTGTACACAATTTTCTTAGAATCATGCGAAATTCTTTAAAAGTAATTTATCTCTTTGGATATTTTTGAAACAATATGTGCATAGTGCACTTCTAACTTTAAATGATTCGATTGACTCAATTTTTTCATGATTAATCGTAAGATATATCGTATTTTTTAACTAAAGATTTTCCTATAAGCATACATTTTGTTTTGTTTGTGTTTAATTTATAATAATTATGTTTCTCGTATCATTGCTAAAAATCTCTGTTGCAGTTTCAGTGACTTTATTTGATGTATATATTAATGACTCACAGCAAATATTTGAATTTTACACTGTTGTGAAGCATGAGGAATACCGTTAATATATAAAATAAATAGTAATGGATCTAATTTGCTACCCTGTGGCTCAACTACCGAAATGTTTTAATGCTTGATAATGTATTGCCAATCTCAGTTCTCTGACTTCTATTGATTAAATAATTTTGTAATATGTTGAATACTGAACCTGTAAATTCATTTGTTGGATGTCACACACGCTACTGATGAAAATTATTTAGCTAACTAAAAAACTTCAAGCATTTTTATTATTTCTATCAATGAAAAATGTTATGACAATTTTTTGCGCAGTGTATTTTCATAAGTAATGTCATAAGGGCATCTAATTTTTTCCAAATAAGTAAGAGATTATTCTGCCTACTTTAAAAACAATATTACAAAATTTATTGACAATAAATTGAGAAAAATTGTTTAGCGTCGTAGGAGACCATAATTACTTGTTATCAAAGATATTGGAATTTTTGGTGACAACAACAAGCTGACAAGTTTTGCCGCGGGAAAACTCAAAAAGCTGCTGGCATATAATGTTTCCATTTGTAATTCAAAATTGCACGTTTTTGATTTGTAAAGGTTAAGACGAGGGAAATAGTCAGAATTAATGATCAGTAGCTCCAAGTGTAAGTACTCCATTATTTTGTTCAATTCCAGATGAAAACGTGAACCCCATGATGGTATTCGAATTCATGCCCCTAGGGGATCTAGCAGAACTCCTCCGCAACCAACGTCGCCTGTACCCCTCAACCCCCGCCTCAGAAGACCCATCCCTACCCCCAAACACCACGCAACTGAATCGACGCGATTTGCTCGCGATCGCGATTCAGATCGCTGCAGGGATGCGATATTTGGCGTCGCAAAGGTTCGTGCACAGAGACTTGGCGTGCAGAAATTGTCTTGTTGCCGACGGACCCGTGGTTAAAATCGCTGACTTCGGGATGAGCAGAGACGTGTATACTTGCGATTACTATAAGGTGAGTAGCATCAGGATAAAGATGAGGAGCCTTTGAAAATTTTGACTTGACATCCAAAATCATATGGTCATGATCGAGGACATGGTCAAGGTCAAGCTCACGGCCATGGTCAAGGTCATGAGCATGCCTAGGGTCAATGTCATGTTCAAGGTCATAGTTAAAGTCATGGTCAATAACATTGTCAAAGTTATTGGCAAGGTCATTGTCAAGGTAATTATCAAGGTAAAGGTCAAGGTAACCTTCAAGGTCACCATCAATGTCACGATCAAGTTTACGATCAAATTCATGATCAAGGTTTTGATCAATGTTGTAATCAATGTTATGACCAAGGTCATGTTAGAGGTCATGGTAAAGGCCAAGGTCATAGTCAATGTATTGATCAAGGTGAATGACATGGTCAATGTATTGATCAAGGTCAAGCAGGTGGTCATGGACATGGTCAATGTCAACATGATGAAGGACATGGTCAAGGACTGGTCAAGCTCATGGTCAAGTTCATGGTCAAGGTCTTGTTCAAAGGCCTGGTCATAATCTAGGTCATGGTCAAGGTCACGATCAATATCTTTTCACGGACATGGTCATGCTCAAGGTCATAGTAAAGTCATGGTTTATAAGATGGTCAAGGTCGTGGTCAAGGTCATTTTCAATGCCCTGGTCGAGGTGATAGTCAATCTAATGGTCAATGCCAAAAAAACCATCTTTTTATGCATGTACAGGGAATTTTTATAATCGTTATATAGGCAAATGAAGCTCGGAATACATTCTACGTTTTTATTTGATCTCTAATTTACATTATCTTCCGATTTTCAGATTGGGGGGTCTCGTTTGCTTCCGGTAAGGTGGATGTCCCCAGAGAGCGTGGTTTATGGTAGGTTCACACTGGAGTCGGATATATGGTCTTATGGAGTTGTGCTATGGGAAATATACAGTTATGGGAAGCAGCCCTACTATGGGCATACGAATGAAGAGGTAGGTATACAAGTCTGGTTTTATTGCTGCAAGTTGTTCAAGGGGGTATTTGAAACATGGACGCATAAAATGGGTACAACAATTTTTGTGGGAAAACTTTTTATTCGTCAACAAAGAATGAGAAAACGTGTTTTTTTTTTTGGGATTCAATCGAAAGTGTTGGCAGGACGTACAAAATGAGGCCACACGTAAAAAGATCCGACTAATAGCAAAAATGCTATGGCCGAAAACAGAGGCAAACTGCAGGTTTTAGCACTTGTTGGTAATGCGACGATGGTTTCTCGAAGATATTTGAAATTTTTCGAATTCGTAGGATTCGTACTCCTTAATAAACACAACAAAATTGGAATAGATTGGTCAATTAATTCAAAACGTTCTCGTAGTGTGGAAAAGGTATCCGACCTTGGATGACTCATATTAGGGTACCGTTGCTTATAAATGCAAAAATTCAGTTTCAAATACGTTTTTATTATAATGCTCACAAAGCTAATTTTGACAGTTTGTAACTAATGAACAATTTATTCGTTTCCAAGGATGCGATATTTTAGGGAATTAAGCCTTGTGTCTAGTAACAAAAAAAAGCTTATAAAAAATTGAATCCAAACTTTCACAAATATTCAGGATGATGCATTTGAAATTTTTGAGAAAAACTGCCATTTGCGTTTTTGATCACCCTGTATGAGCAAAAATTAAAATTCGAAAAAGTAATAAATAAGATAAAAGCTGAGGTGTGTAAGTTTTTCTTTGATACAAAATTCAGCACTCAAAATTTCAAAATTGCGGACTGAGGGATTGCCGAAGTTTTCTAGATAAAACACCTTATATCTCAGAAACTAATTACCAAAACCCCATAATATGTTATATCATCAATTTTCTTCTTTTGAATTGGTCTATCCAAATATACATAAAATTTGAGGCATTCCATTTGAAAAATCACATCTTTGATATGTAGGTTGAAATTAATGACCAATATTTTAGAAATGTGCCCTGAAATGTCATGTATAACATTCCATAAATAGATTTTCCCAAAATCTATTTGTTTATGAGTAATATTCTGTCGACGCATAAATGGGCCACCCTGTATATATATATATATATAAAGAGAAAATTATTATGCGGGGAAAGGTATATAACAAAAATAGTTTCCTATTTTTGTTATATATATAACAAAACATTGTTGTTTTTGATATTGTATATTGCTGATCTGCCTAAGGCTGTGAGTTTTTGTGAACTCCAGTCTTTTGCGGACGATACTCAACTGGTCCATTATTTTGATACTGATGATATGGAAATGGCACAGACATCAATAAACCATGATATTCAATAAGTGTTTGACTTCTCGAATAACCACGACCTGTCAATAAATCCTGGTAAATCCAGCCTTTTATTTTTTTATTCGGATCGTAGGAGAGAAGAAATTAAAAGTCAATTAACTATTAAAATTGGATCTCAAAGACTGTACCCGGTTGACGAGGTTAAAATTCTTGGCGTGGTAATCGATTTCAAACTTAGATTCACCAGTCGTGTTAAAAATCTTTTGAAGAAAACCTACTTGAGACTGAGATCACTATATGCCAATAAAGCAATTTTCAATTATAAGCTAAGGAAAAAACTGTGTTCATCTATGGTTATGGCGATTTTCAACTGCTGTGATGTTTTATATTATCCGTGTCTCAATGTTGTTACTAGAAATCGGATTCAAATTGTGCAAAACAATTGTGCTAGGTTCATCTGCGCTTCGACCATGTTTCTGGTAGTCTTATTGAATTAAACTGGATGATAAAAAAAAATATTGTCAAATATCATTACCTTGTTTTCATTCATAAACTAATACTTATGTCAAAGCCTATATACTTAAGAGAAAAGCTGATCTTTAGGCGTAATATTCATCATAGAAATATTAAATTTCCAGATGTGATAACTACGCCTATTCACTCCACAGCTTTATTCTAGCGTTCTTTCACGTACAGTGCTGCAGTGTTATACAACGCTTTGAGTCCTGAATTCAAAACCATGTCCTTAAATTGCTTCAAAAGAGCTGTCAAATCTCATATTTGCTTGGATCCATAGTCTTAATTAGACTGCTATAGATATACTGTTAAATGATTCTTCACTTCCCTTGTGTACATGTAGTAAACCTTGGTGCAACATGTATGTATATATGTGTATATATGTATATATGTATGTGTTTACATGTGTATGTATATTTTGTTTGATATCTGCTACTTAACAACTTGTTTTTTTGCATGGGTGGTTAAGTTTAAGAGTAGCATGTTGCTAAACTTCGCCACCATATGCAACTCTTGTTTCTCTGTATGAAATTGTACAGATTAAATAAAGACGATTATTATTATTATTATTAATAATATATATATTATTAAGGGCGCCCTTTTCACACATACAAACAAAACAAAATTTAAACAGAACAAAAGCATCAACACACATCATAATACAAGCGCAGGTGAGAGTCTTAATTATTCCAAGGCACACACTGACGCTGTTCGAGAAGTCACTGGAACACACCTGCATCAGAATATATAACAAACTTTCATCTAACCTCAGGAATGTCAGTAGTATTGCTAGTTTTATATGTCAACTACGAAACTTGTTTCTACTCTTTGTCTGAATACCTCGCACTGTGATATACTTTTAAAACTTTTCCTATATGTGAATGTCTGTACACCTTGAGTTGTTCCTGTTTGTACTTTGTAAGTACCTATGTTTGTTTTGTTTTTACTTTTAATTAAGTGTACTATGTACCTCCCCCTTAGGACGATCCTTATGTCATGTTCATGATCTACAAGACAATAAATGTATATATCTATCCATAGCAAAATACACTAGTTTACCTGGCCGATATGAATCACAAGCAATTCCGGAAGATAAATGTTATTTTTATACAAAAAAGGATGGGATACGCTTTTTCTTCTAAACAAATTCAAACATTTCGTATTTGTGAGTAATACGCAACAAAATATGATACACGCATCTGCCTTGTTTTAAAATGTGTATAGTAACATATGTTTTTCGAACTACCGCATTTGTTCAATTACTCACAAATACGAAACGTTTGAATTTGCTTTTAATTTGTTGTTATTTAGAAGTATTAATCCTACAGGATTTGAGGACTTTCAAGTAGTTGCGTGACCAGCATTACCAACAAGTGCCAAAACCGTCATTTTGTCTCATTTTTCGGCCGTAACATTTTTTTTTTAGTCGGATCTTCTCACGTCTTTTCTATTGAATCAAAAAAAACATATGGTCTCATTCTTTGTTGTTAAATAAAATGTTTTCCCACAAAAATTGATGTACACATTTTATGCGTTAACGTTTAAAATACCCCCTTGCACAACTTGCAACAATAAAACCAGACTTTACAATTATTTCTAGGAAATTTGCTAATATGGTTAGACTATTGCTAAAATCCTTGTAAATGATATCAACTTGATTTACTGTCTGTCGATTCTGCTAACCGTCATTAAGTTTGACGTGATAAACTCCTTTAATAACTTGCAAACAACAATTCAATTCTTACTTTCCAATTCTGTCCAGGTGGTGAAACTCATCTTAGACGGAATAATGTTAATGCCCCCTGAAGACTGTCCAATGGTCATTTGCGATCTGATGAGGAACTGCTGGAAGACCGAACCAAGACATAGGATCACCTTCACAAGCATATGCGAAAAGCTTGAAATGGCGTATGAATGTGAAAAAACAGAATTTGACGTGGAAGATGAAAATAAGAAATCGAAAAATACAGGTAACAATAAATCTAATGGTAGACAAATCCACATACCGTATCTTGGTTCATTCCAGTTGACGGTTTGGAAGATATTAAAGAAATTGGTTTTTATGTCTAAACTTCAGCAATCTCTTTAATGAAGCCCCTTAAGATGCGGTCCTGTGCATGATGATTCATTTTTTATCACGACACGTGAATCACCTTGTATAGGATTACAATATTTTTTCAATATTTGACGCGCATCAATAAAACCCAATAAGCCATTAATTGTTTCCATTTTTCTTCTATTTTCCTCTCTACACAGCTTCTGACGTTTGATTGTTTATTGAAGGTTTATTTAGTAATAATGCTACAATGTCAATTTTCTATAACAATTAAAGAAAGTTGACAGGATAAAAGGATAACACTGATCAACAGCCAAAAAATATCCTAAATAAAATCAACAAAATATTACTATTTTTAATGTGCTAAAACCGGAATGAAACTTATTTTTTCAATATTAGTTCAAGTTTCAGTAATTATATGTGTTCCTGCTATGACAGTGATAATATACTGTAATTCACAAGAATGCACGTGCTACATTTTTATATTCGGCAAGGAAAGATGATGTAATCGGCATGATTGTGTTACGTTATACATACGTGTACATTATATTGCTTTATATTAGCCATTTTTCCTCAGTTGGCTGGCAACGTTCATGCAAGATGTCTCGAAAGTGTGTAAACAATCCAGATCAGTTTTGTTACGTGTGTGGTGATGTGACTTTTGCGTCTCAGAGACGGTCTATTACGCCACTAATAACAAAGGCATATCAGCTTTATTTCGGTTTTAAACTAGGTGATCAAGACAAACAGTGGGCACCCCACATCTGCTGTAATACATGTGCTTCAAGTCTGAGGAGCTGGTTAAATGGCAAAAAACGGTCTATGCGCTTTGCTGTCCCAATGGTTTGGAGAGAGCCTACAAATCATATTAATGATTGTTACTTTTGCATGGTACCTTGTGTTGGACAAGCCACAGGTTTGTCCAAGAAAAAAAAATCGGTTATTAACTACCCAAACATACCATCTGCGATGAGACCTGTGCCTCACAGTGACGAAAATCCTATTCCAAAACCCCCAGAATCCTACACTTGCGAATCAGAAAACGAATCAGATCATGGCGATCGAGTGATTCGTCAGGAAGAAGATATGCCATCAACGTCAAGAGATCCTGATTTTATACCGAGCACGTCATGCCACCAACCGCACAAAATAACACAGTCAGAATTAAATGATCTTGTAAGAGATTTAGAACTTCCAAAATGTAAGGCAGAGTTACTTGGATCAAGACTGCAGCAGTGGAACTTGTTAGAGCACGATGTTTCGGTATGTGTTTTTCGTAAACACCACAAAGACTTAGAACCATTTTTCAATATGGAGAATAACTTGGTTTTCTGCAGTAACATTAACGGCTTACTGGCGGCTTTAAATATAAACTATAACCCAGAAGAATGGAGATTGTTTATAGACAGTTCAACATTGAGTTTAAAGGCAGTGTTATTGCCTATTGGAAATATTTTACCATCTCTTCCTGTAGGGTATGCAGTTCACATGAAAGAATCATATGACAATATGAAGTATCTATTGACATGCATAAAATACGATGAGCACCAATGGCATATTTGTGGCGAATTGAAAGTTGTTGCACTTTTACTTGGGCTGCAGCTAGGCTACACAAAGTTTTGCTGTTTTTTGTGTGAATGGGACAGTCGGGCAAAGGCACTTCATTACACCAGACAAAACTGGCATGTTCGTCAATTCCTAGAGCCAGGTCAAAAAAATGTACAGCATATGCCATTAGTAGATTCGAAAAAAAATTTATTACCACCACTGCATATCAAGTTGGGCCTAATGAAAAACTTTGTCAAGGCATTAGATAGAGATGGGTCAGCTTTTCAATACCTGCGTCAGAAATTTCCAAGACTAAGTGAGGCAAAGGTTAAAGAAGGTATTTTTGTTGGGCCACAGATTCGAAATATTTTGAAAGATACACAATTTGAAAACACTTTAACAGGTATTGAAAAAACTGCTTGGAATGATTTCCGTCTGGTGGTCACTCATTTCTTGGGAAATAGAAAAGCTGACAACTATAAAACCCTTGTCAAAAATATGCTGTCATCGTATCAAAAGATGGGCTGTAATATGTCTCTTAAGATACATTTCCTATACTCGCACCTGGACTTTTTTCCTGACAATTGCGGAGCCGTAAGTGATGAGCACGGCGAACGTTTTCATCAGGATATTTCAACAATGGAAAAAAGGTACCAGGGAAAGTGGAATCCTTCCATGCTTGCAGACTACTGTTGGACTCTTGGTAGAGATGTTCCAGAAACGATCCATAAAAGAACAGCAAAAAGACAGCGCATATAGTGATTCTTATAAGTATATGAATCTTGTTACTTTTTTTAATATATATTTAAAAATAAAAAGTTTTTTTTCTAAACCGCAACTATTTTTTTATTTGTTGTCCAGTATAATTATTACCCTTTTACACATTTTTGAATACATTTTTTGTAATTTTACATTTTTGTCTAATAAAATTTCATCGCTCTGCATTTTGAGAATTCATTGATGATTTTCGAATTGCACCTTAAGCAGTTTCAAATTCGAATACCCTAATATCATTATTCAATTGAATAAATTCCGATACTTTAATGGCTGTTTAATTTTGTATAAAGATTCGGTTACATATTTTTCTTAAATCCATTTTCTGTAATTTTACATTCTTGTCTATTAAAATTAAGAATACGTCACTATGCATTTTGATTATTCATAACGTGATTTTTTAATTTTACCTTAAACATTTTTAAATTCGAACTCTTCTAATACTCCTTTTTGAAATATAGGTTTACTAGTTATGCTACTATTACAATTTTACAGATGAAACTCTATTCTGCCTCTAGTTTCGTAGTTATGATAATGACTATTTAATTTTGTGAAGTTCTTTAAATGTGGTGGTAATAAATGATTTTCTAATTTGAATATGAAAACGAGAACTAAATAATATATGAAATTTTTCACGTCCAACCACTGCAGTTCTTCTAACATAGACTTAATTGTTTTTATTTAAAATGATTTTCATAGCTTTATTTTGTAGAACTTGTAATTTTGAAAATATGTTTTCATGTAAACAAGATGGTTGAACAATATAAAGAATGGGTAAGAATTATAGTGTTATACACAATTTTTTTTGTAATACATACTAAGATTATGGGAAACTCTATAGAAGTAATTTATCTTTTTTGAAATTTTTGAAATAATGTATTCATAATGTTCGTGAAACAGTAGATTACTATCCACATATATACCAAGATATTTAAATGACTCGACTACTTCAATTTTTTCATCATTAATCATGATCCTAATTGTATTTTCACCTAAAGGTTTCCCTATTGAAATAAATTTGATTAGTGTTTTATTTAAGTTTATTGACATTTAACCAATTCATAATATTTTCAATATAACTATCTAACAGTTCTGAGGCAGTGTCCAAATGCTTATGTGATATATATATATATATATATATATATCAGTGTATCGTCCGCAAATATTTGAACTTTGCAGTGTTCTAAAATGTCAGAGATATATATATATATATATATATATATACAGGGTTATCCAAATTAAGTGTCCACCATTAGTAACTTTGTTATTAGTGAAAATACAAAGTTGTTTGAATTAGCAAACTAGTAGCATTTTTAACGCTGGTAAAAATGAGAAATAAAAAAAACAATTGAGAGTCGTTATTTTGATTTTTTTCAGTAAAATAACATTTTTTTAAATGGAAACCCCTGTATATTATATTTTTTTCTGTTAAAGCATCAAATTTTAAACAAAAAAGCTTACAATAACTTTTCTCCTAGGTTACAAATTGTTGAAGTTATGGCCTCCAATCTGAAACAATTAAATTGTATCGACAAACTTTATTTTCAACATCAACTTATAATCTTACAAAATACAATAACAATTTTTTTTAAAGAAGATGCTCGAAAACACCACCTTGTTCTTCAATACATTTTTGGGCACGTTTTTCAACTTCTCGAACTGTCTTAAGTATGGTCCTACCATCTATCTGGGTTATCTTTTCCCTAACTGCAGTCTTTAACGCGTCAAGGTTATCGTACCTTCGCTTGTAAATTTGGTTCTTTAAGTAACCCCACAAGAAGTAATCAAGTGGGTTTAGATCTGGTGATCTAGGAGGCCACTGTATTGGGCCATTTGTTCCTATCCACTGATCATTAAAAGTAGTACTTAGAAAATGATAAGTACCTCTGGAGTTGTGGGCAGGTGCGCCATCTTGCTGAAAATGCAGATAATGTCTACTTATAAGATCCAATTCGTCTAAGAAATTAGTCAGAATTTCTGACATAAATTCCACATATCTTTCACCAGTTAGGGTTCCCTCATAAAAGAACGGGCCAACAATGTTTGAACCAATTATACCGCACCAAACGTTGAAACTGAAACGGACTTGTGGGCCTCTTGGATGTACTAACAAAAGATTTTCTCTTGACCAATAATGGTGGTTTTTTCTATTAAACATTCCAGAATTTGAAAAATTTGATTCATCTGTCCATAAAAGGTAACGAAAGTTATTTACATTTTGGCGACAGAAGCTAAGATACCAATGGCAAAAAACAAGTCTTCTCTCTGGATCCCCTGCCAAAAGCGTTTGAACTGGTCGGTACTTATACGGAATAAATTTGTATTTTTTTAAAATCCTTTGAACAGTACCATAACTGAAATTAGAGTCCTTGAGAATATCTGCTATTGAATTCTCACGATAAGCTTCAAAATATCCAATAACTGCAATTTCCGTGGCCTCGCTTATTATGAATTCTTTTTTTGCCCTTGTTTTAGCAAAAACATTTTCGTTGCCCCTAAATTTTCGATAAAGTCTCAGAAAATATCGTTCATACGGTTGAATGCGAGCGGGATATAATTCACTGTAGTCTCTTGCTCTCAAGGAGGATTTTCTGCACACTAAATAGCATTCTAACATATCACACTTTTCTTCATGGGAGAACATTTTTCTTTAAATTAATGACACAATAAAGCTTATAACAAGTATTTATACTAATGTTTGACATTATTTGATTTTATCATTGTTTTCCAAAGCCTTCTAGTTGCGAGTATGTCCAGTTTAACAATTTGTCGCTTATCTTAATGCTGTCAAATTGCGAACGCCATGTTGTTTTCATAGCCGTCTTAATATTATATACTGCAAATAATTAAAAATATTTATCGTTATTTTGACTTTATTTTTGACTTTAGCGGAAAAGTCATTATGAACTTTTTTGTTTAAAATTTGATGCTTTAACAGAAAAAAATATAATATACAGGGGTTTCCATTTAAAAAAATGTTATTTTACTGAAAAAAATCAAAATAACGACTCTCAATTGTTTTTTTTTATTTCTCATTTTTACCAGCGTTAAAAATGCTACTAGTTTGCTAATTCAAACAACTTTATATTTTCACTAATAACAAATTTACTAATGGTGGACACTTAATTTGGATAACCCTGTATATATATATTTATATGAATAATAAATAGTAACGGCCCTAATTTACTCCCTTGTATATATATTTCCAATTTTAGTTTTTTGACTTCTATTTACTAAATAATTTTGCGAAATGTGTAATACTGCCATAGTGAGGCAATTTCATTAACAATTATTCCCTTTTGAAGTCTAAAAATATTGTAACAATATATTCTTTCTCATCTATACTTCTTCTCCAGTCTTCCACCACCATTTGGATTGCCGTTTCTGTGGAATATTTTTTTCTAAATTTACACTTTCTATAAAATAAGTGTTCATTCTTTCTGCTATGATTAAATTGTCTGTCACTAAACCATCTTCGAAATGTATTTTAGATAACTCTATTCTTCTTTTTATAGTACTTTTTCTTTTCCCTCCTGAGAACTGCTACACACTCATTTCTTCAATCACTTTCGCTTTGGGTTATCGAAAATTTTCTGTAGTCGTTATCGCGTTTTAATTTAGACTCCTTGAATATCTGTGAAAACCAGGGTGTTAGGTTCACTCTTTCATATATTATTTACTTGTTTGAAGCAGTTGTCGGCATTATCGATAATTTCAGGTATATTTTGTTGTAAGTGTTTCTCGTAATTTTGTGAATTCAATGACTGTAATTTCTTTCATTTTATTTTCATTGAACATATTTCCCACTTCGAAATATATCCATGAAAGATCACTTATCTTTGGGGTATGCTTAACTTCAGCAATTAGATTTTGTTCATTAGTTATGAGCAAATCTTTGTTATCGAAAAGTTTAAGTGGTATATATAGCTTACAGCTTGTTTTGTTTGTAATTGCTATGATCTGTCTCCATAGCAAGTTTTGTTTTTTGATTTTTCATATTCCATTTGTATTATTCTACATATTTTGTTGAACGGTGAGTGGTTTGTCACTTCATTTTTTTGGTGTTTTACAGGCTTGAGACTGATGGAAACTCTCACCACATTTTATGCAAACACCCTTCTTTGTTAAGTTTTTAGCTGTATGTTGGAATCCTAAGCAGTTAAAGCACGTCAGGAGATCATAATGCGCCACCCTGTATATTTGCTGAGTACCTTCTTTGTGTGTAAACAGTTTTGGCTTTTATCGTTTGGTTTTATTATAACTGCCTTTTCTGGTTGTACTGTAGAAGCAACCAAATTTCCATTAATGTTTCTATCTCATATTGCAGGCACAAGAAGCCTTCCAAGGCCTCCACCATTCCCGATCCTGAACGACGCTGACCTGTTAGACGGCCAAGGTTACCTCAAGCCCATAGAGGTCAAAGACCCCGTGCCATACTTGGAGCCCGTTTGTGACTGACCCGCGGAGGCTGGCAGGAGCTCCTGCAGTGGCATCAAGAGTTTCTACCATGCTACCTGCACCAGCAACTGCAAATATACCAAAATGCCCCAGAGCGATCGGAAAAGGATCTATTGGGGCAAGAGTGCTCAGGTGAACGGTGCAGATATCTAGAGATGGCTATGTCGGACAATAAATTAATGTTAAGGAAGAACTTGGTTGGATTTACGTTCAAGCTGGGGAAGAATTGAAGGGGTTTTTGGAACGAGCGATGTTATTTGTTTACCTTGAGTTTAAGTTAACGTCACTACTTTTATGCGAAAAGTTGGGAAACGAGGTACTACTGACCAAAATATGTGAATTGACTCAAACATACCTTAGAGCAGAAGTTGATAGTTTGTGAGATACAGGGTGTTACAATTTTTTTTCTATTTTTACTTATTTCTTGAGAAGTATTTCAGATTTTAGCATAAAACTCGGTGTAGGGAGCTTTTTTAGTTTTAGAAACAAGAATCCGTTATTTTTTATGGCCAAACTTCCAGAGGGCGCCACTTACAACACTATTTCGGTAAATACCTTATCATAACTTTTTTATGCTACCCTGTATGCAACAACTGACTGAAAAATCTTATTTTCTCGTACTTCCACAACAGAAAAGGTGTACTTGTTAGAAGTGTTTAAAGCTAATAGTTTTCGAGATATTTGTTTTTTAAAAGTTCCAATGCTTTATTTGTACCATGGTGACAAAACATTTTTATAACATAATAATCAAGTTGCATAACTTATTATCAACTTGAAATTATTCTGAAAATGTAAAGCAACATTATGACAAACATTAGAAACCATAACAACGCTACTCAGATATTATCCAAAGCAACTTGATTATTATGTTATATATATAAAAATGTTTTATCATCATGTGGTACAAATAGTGCATTAGAACTTTTAAAAACAAATATCCCGAAAACCATTAGCTTTAAACACTTCTAGCAAGTAAACCTTTTCTGCTGTGGAAGTACGAGAAAATAAGATTTTTCAGTCAGTTGTTGTATACAGGGTAGCATAAAGAAGTTATGATAAGGTATTTTCCGAAATAGTGGCGCCCTCTAGAAGTTTAGCCATGAAAAATAACGGATTCTTGTTTCTCATACCAGAAAACCTCCCTATCCCAAGTTTTATGGCAAAATCTGGAATCCTTCTCAAGCAATAAGGAAAAATAGAAAATAAAATTGTAACTTTAACACCCTGTATCTCGCAAACTATCAACTTTTGGACTGAGGTATGTTTAGGTCAATTTCCATATTTTGGTCCGTCTCGAAATTTCCCAACCTTTCGCAAACACCCTGTATAACTGCGTTACGTCTCCCGATTTCAGATGGCACGTCCCTTATTTTAGATTTTTTTTTAACTACCTGTTTGCAGCATTATTTTAAATCCTTTCCATCTGATAATTCCATAGTGTGTATAGAAATGATTAAAAACAATGTTTATATTTTTTTTTTCAAAAAATTCAATCCCTGTGCATTTTTTCTTCAATCGGAACTTGCTAACAAATACAAGCACAGCTTTGAAATTGTGTGTGAATATTCCTCTTTTATGGAAGAATGAAACAAGTGATTACTTTTGTTCTTATCACTTTTCCTTTTCGAAAAAACTTTGATTTTCTTGAAGTCTCGCCGCGCAACAAGGAAAAAAGATTTTTTGAAGAGAAACAGATAACAATAAAAGTAACCACTTGTTTAATTCATTCAAAAAAATGGAATATTCCCAAAAAATTTCAAAGCTGTACTAATATTTAATAACAATTTACGATCGAAGACAGAATCCACAATAAATTGCACTTAAAATGCATTTTATGACAAAAACAAAATTGAAAACGTGTACACATCATAGTTAAAAAAAAAGCTAAAAAAGGGACGTGCGGCCTTGAGTGGGGATGCAATGCAAAAGTACACGAAAGTAGAACTAGAACAAAAACGTCTTACCTTAACTAGATGTCATTTTTGTAAACCAAAGCTTTGGCTTCTGTGGCATTCCCATGATTCGCTATGGCTGAAATTGTATTCTCCGTTTCAAAAAGACCTATTTTCTACCCCCACCAAGCAAATTCCAAAGAGAACCAACAATTTATATCAGAAGTTTGTTCTATGGTTCAGCAACAGGTACGAGGTTTGTCCGAAAAATACGTATGGAGGTGGAATAATATCTTTATTTTACAATTGTTCAGGTATTTCAATATGGTCTCCTTCAAAGTTGATTTTCAGGGTTACTTTCAACAAGCACACTTCACATGACGCCTGAATTTTTTGTACGAATTTTCCGTACAAACCTCGTATAGTAACTTATATCTCTAGAATGGAAAGTAAGGCATTACTGACCGGTGTATGGCTCCTTTCCTCATAAATAGCAAGTCTAACGTTACTGAAGTTGTTGATGTAACACAGAAGCATCAGATTTTCTAATTCAATTTTCAAGATTTATCCATAAAATTATTGCTGATGTTACGATGAAAAACAACTTGGATACCTGAACAATACTGCTACCATTATTGTGAGCTAAGTATGTTTAGATATAAATTTTATATAGTGCCTTAAACTAAAACTAGATAAATATTCATAGTTTTACGGCTGAGCAATTCAACCAGTGATGCAGGTCTTGAGATTTACAAGAAAACGCTTTTCAAGACAAAATAGGCGGGAGTCCGATCCTGTATTTGCAGCGTCTGACAACAAATTAATCGCTCTTATAAAAATCAAGGTTTTAGTAGTGTTCTACTGGTTATAAAAATACAGTCAGTGCGCCAAGAAGAACGTAACAACTGATTGGCACCGTGAGTACCCTTTGGGCCACTTTCTGATAATAGTTCTGCGTTAAAACCCAATAACATCATAAACATACTGGTAAATTAATCAAACTCCTGGCCGCATACCTTTCCATTTGCGGACAGGACCGTATCTAGAAGAATGTCATATCGTCTTCACCCAGAGCTAACTAGAAACATTTAATATGATTACTCAAACTATGACAAGTAACCCTACCACATCACAAAACCCTACGCCCAAGTCATACTCAAAAGTTGTCTCCCAACACAGCGAAAAACATCCTAACAAAGAACAAGCAATAGTTTTCAGCACTATAGAGGGAGCTAAACTACAAGACTATCTTCTGAAATTAGGTCCACTGGTAGAGCCCAAAAACATTATATTTTGCTCAAGGATCTCGAACAACAGAATATGTGTTTACCTCTCAAGTAAAAGTTTGGTTGACCAGTTCATACAACAGCATGGAGAATTAACCGTAAATGGAGAAATAATAAAAGTTCGTCGCCTAGTTACCCCCTCTGATAGACTGGTAATATCGAACGTTTGTCCGACCATCCCGCATGCAGTTCTAAACGACGCGCTGCAAAAATTGCATTTAAAGCTTTTATCTCCAATTTCATTCCTCAGAATTGGAGCCACTCTAGCGGAGTACAGTCACATTTTGAGTTTTAGGAGGCAAGTTTACATAGCACCTTCAGAGAATACGGATATCCCAGAATCCATAGAGATAACGCACAACGATCTGACCTATCGTATATTTCTTACTTTAGACAGTCAAAAGTGCTACAAATGTAAACTTATTGGACATATTGCTTCACAGTGTCCATCGATTAAGATTTCGCAGACTTCCACAGAATCAGAGACCCTCAACGATGAACTGTCAAACCCATCCGAAAATCAAGTAGTATCAGATATAACTACAGAAGATTCCACCACAGCCCACATACATCTGCCCAAAGAAAATACCAAAGCAATTACGAACAAAAACAGCCACCAACATCCTCAAAACACTAACACAAACATCATTAGCCTACACGGCGAAGGAACACCGAATAATGACGAATTAATAACTCCAAGCGTATCCTCCAAAAGGAGCTTCTCAGAAATACTAACACCAACGGAAGACACAGGTGCACCTCAAAGCTATCAAGTAACATTCACCAAACCGACTGCAGATAACATCAAGAAACACAAACCTGATCAGGAATTAACAATACCCATAAAAAGCAGCCTTGAACCTATCAAAAATTTGATAGAGACTCAGCAGACGGTACTGAACATCGATCAGCTCACCAGTCTGTTGGAAAATGTACATGGAGCTAAGGATGCCATTACTGTAGTAAACAACTATACCTCAGATTTCAGAGCTCTTATAGAAATGCTTCTCCTAATTTACCCCCATTTGACAAACCGCACAATAAAGAACAGATGCACAAGATTAAGGAAAAAATTGGAACACCACATCGATCAAACGGTAGGATCACTAAGCGACACGTCATCCATAGATTCGACGTTTTAATAACAATAAAATTTACGTCAATTCTACAATGGAATTTAAATGGATATCGTATCCATTTGACCATGCTTCGAAAGTTATTAACTGATCACAAACCAGATATCATTTGCCTACAGGAAACTCACTTTAGTGACAGTAAAACACACACGCCTAAGCAGTATATAGGTTATTTCAAAAATAGGAATACGGGAACAGCAAGTGGGGGAGTGGCTATATATACGAAGTCGTATATGCAATCTAGTCAAATCAATCTCGTTACTAATTTAGAAGCTGTAGCAGTTACCATAGAAGATGGAGAGAAGATCAATATCTGCAATGTATATATCCCACCTAACTACTTTTTGGATAAGAAAGAACTGGAAGACTTGATACAACAAGTTCCCGCTCCTCGCATAATTATTGGAGACTTTAACGCACATGATTATGCGTGGGGATCCTTCAAACATGACCAACGAGGAAACATAGTAAGAGGCATCCTGGACTCAAGCCACCTAGCCTTGCTGAACGACGGTAACTGTACTAGATTCGACGCCGCATCAGGAAGACTCTCCGCAATCGATTTGAGCCTATGCACCCCCAGCCTGCTAACTCACCTACATTGGAGTACAGAAGATGACTTATATGGAAGCGATCATTTCCCAATACTTATATCAAACAATAAAAACAACAAAAACACTGAATCAACGCCTCCTCAAAAGTGGAGATTAAAGCAAGCTAATTGGCATTCATTCTCACACTATATAGATAGTAACCTTGACCGCAATATAAAATCTAATGTCAGCATAGACTCTATAGTGGAACAGTTCAACAAGACTATAACTGATGCCGCACAACATATCCTAGGTAAAACCACCCACGTAAAAAATAGAAATCCTGTGCCTTGGTGGAACAACGAATGCGAATCTGCACTCAAAGAGAGTAAACAAGCGGTCAATAAGCACAAAAGACACAAAAATATCAATACATTAAGGAACCTTCGGAACAAACAGGCCAAATTAAGACTAATAACTAGAAAAAGCCAAAAACAATCGTGGCAGAATTACGTCAGTAGCATTACTTGTAACACACCAATGCCCAAAGTATGGAAAAAGGTGAGAAGCATTTCTGGAACTAAGACATACTCACCAATAAGATGTCTAAAAGACGGTGAAAACACTGTCACTGAAAGTCATCAAATATCAGAAATATTATCCAAGAAATATTACTCCAACTACAGCAATGGAAACTACTGTTCAGACTTTACGAACTACAAACTAAATGCAGAATCAGTGATAATCCCCATAGAAGACAACAGCGATCCAATCAACCTACCCATCACAGAATTAGAGT